GGCATTTCTCTCATGCATGCTGGGACAGCCGGCAAGGGCTGCTTGGGTGGAGTGGAGGATAGTGGGAGCCTCTTACCATCGTACAGTTCTCTTTCCACCACTTCTGCCCCTTGGGCTGCCGGCCACTGAATGTTGAGCTTTGCCGCTGCTCGTCTGCAAACCTCGTACAGGTCGACGTCCCCCGTGATGCCACCCCAGTGCCGCTAGACGGCCTTGAGTGTTGAGCTGGGAAGTTGGAATCCGCTTCCTCCTCTTTCATGTCCGAGTCGAGGAGGTCTGAGTTCGCATCACCTCCAGCCTCGTCATCACCCGCATCAAGCAGCCTGCTGTACACCAGCCCCTCGAACAGAGGTGGTAGCGGTGGCTCCTCTTCTATCATATCCGCCCAGCTTGTGGAGGCTCGTGGCTGATGGTTGTCACCTGCTTCTACAGGCGTGGCCGAGGCCTGGGTCCCGGCCGTTGGCCACTGCCACTCTAAGCCTGCTTTCCCTTATCTTCTCCGACATGGAGGAGCAGTGAGGGCATATCTGCGGGTTAGCCAGCGATGCCTGGGTTTGAGCAGCACCCATGCACGCTATGCACTTAGGATGAGGGTCCCTGCCTGAAAAAGAAGCCCCACATGACGCCGGGCACAGGTGGGATGCAGCCTCTTTAGCCTTTGGTTCCGACCAGTCAGTCGGGGTAGGGGTGGAAGCCATAGCTGAAAATCTGACTCATCGTGACACGTTAGCCTGAAAATGCGTTAGCAAGCTAGTTAGCAGGTGTAAGTCTTTAACTAAAGCTATATTTTATATAGGGCTGCTCAATTAATCGAATTTTAATCCCAATTATGATCAGAGTTTTGAACGATTATAAAAACAAAACAAGCCGATTAATTGCTCCTCCCACTTGCGCTGCCCTGAGTTGCAAATGAAGCGCTCCTCCCACAGTGTCGCCAACTTAGCAACTTTGACGCTATTTCTAACAGCTTTTCAGACCCCTTCTTGACTTTTTAAATCTTAAAAATACCAAGCGAACACCTCAGAAACATCTTTGGTAACCCTTAGCTACTTTCTGGATAACTGTCGTTGACATTTCCTGCAGGTTATCTAAAAACTCTGCCTGCGCTCCGGACAGTTCTTCAGGACATTAGGAAAGGGAATGATGTAGTGATGTGTCAGTCGCTAAAGAAACTGCTCTCAGAGCCGGCTTCCTGTTGGATTAACCAGAGTGAGTGACACACACCGTACCTGCAGGTTCCTGAGCTGCTAAAAACGGCTAAATGTGCGCGTGCGGCGCACTAAACACGTGCAGCTTGCCACAGATTGCTGTGACCGGGTTGGGGGTGGGGGGTGCAGCTGTGGTTGGGACATTTATTACATTAACTGTTGGACCGTAAATAAATAGTTTATAAATAAGGTAGATATAGAAATAAGTTCCTCACGCTGATAAATAATAACTAATCCACGGTGCTAGTGCACTCTCCTACAGCGCCTTGACATGACAAAACAAATATTACGCAACATTTTGTGAACATCAATTTATTTGCATGTATTTGTTATAAATGCCACTGCATAATTCTTGCTGTCAGTATTTGCAAGATATTGGTATTTGGGTCTGTACTGGTTAGACTTAAATGAGTTAAACCAAGGACTATAGCCCTTGGGTCATAGACTATGAGTTATAAGTGTAGTGAACCTGATTAGACTCTTTTAATTATGTAGAGTAATGGTTTATGCTCTTTTATGAAAGAGGAACCATTCTACATATTTTATAGTTTTAAGAAGACTCAAAGGTTGTTTTCATCGATAAACTGTCGATAATATCTGTGGGTCTGTGTTTCAGTTCAATGAATAGACAAGTTTGAAAGTTAAAAGATTTAATTCTTCAAATTAAACTAATGATTTTGAAATGACAAGCATAGGAAACAACAATCAACATTGGCAACTTTGTTGAACAATCTTTAACAGTTGATATTGTAAACTTGCTCAAATAGACCTTGTGTTGGATGTGCTGAAGATTGAGAGTGATGTGATTATGGATGCGTGTGTGCAAAATGTAGTGAAAATTGAGATTAAGGTGAGATGAATGCGTGTGTGCATCTGATTTTGCTTCAGGAAGAAACAGGTGTCTGAGTGAAAAGTGATGGTTTGAATAAACTTAGGTTTTGTTCGAAAAGATGCATCAAACGCTATCTCTCGTGGACTGCCTCACCGTATTCTGACCCTCTTTTAGACCTGGGACGTCAAAGGACGATGTTTCATCCAGGGCACCTCGGCTGGCAGAGAAGACGAAGGTGTGCTGCGACCCGGTCCAGAGATGACCTCGTACACGTGATGATGAAGCGTTTGCAGATGCGCTTTCTTAAGTTTAATTACTCAGAAATCAAAAGACTCTGGACGAGTCTGCGTTAGCGGTTGCAATTCAGCTTTTCCTGTCTGGCTTGGCAGGAACAGCGTGAGGGGGGGAGAAAGGAGCCGCAGCTCCGTTCCCCGTTGGCGTTGTTCACAAGTCCTCCCTCTTTGGTTGTCAAACACCGAACTGAATCATGAACTGAAACTTACCAAACCCAGTTGTCTTCTCAAAGCAAACGTGTGCGTCAGAGCAAATGTGTTCTGGAGTTTACTGTGAGAGTTTGTGTGTGTGTGTGAAGGTCATTATAACATCTTCAAACATTATTTAATTAAGCATTGACTCATTAGTTATTATGATTACCCAAAGCATAATAATCATTCATTTGATTAAAACACATTTATAATGAGCAAAGTGATAATAATGATTCTTTAACAACTTAAAATAAAGGAAAGGAAGTTTAAGACTTTGTTATGTTATGACTAGCTTTTCCATGAGAACCATCTTCCGGCACTGCAGGTGTTCAGATGTTATGGTTTCTCCCAGACTCGCTGGCGTTCAGGTCTTAATCTGTGGGTGAAAGTTCTCAGCGACCCAGCTTTGACCCAGCCGGGCAAAGTATAACCTTTTGCACAGAAAACCCATATTTCCTCACGTTACATAAGTATATTGGTCTTTTTATACTGGGAATCAGGAGTTATTTTAGTGATCATCTTGTTTCTTATTTATTTTTGTCCTGATTGTGCCCTGAGCAATTTTGACTGAATAAAAACAAATAAAATCAACATAAATTGAAAAATCGTCTTAAATAATCGAGATCTCAATTTCAATCACAATAATCGTGATTATTATTTTTGCCATAATTGAGCAGCCCTAATTTTATATGTAGGGCAACTCGTCGTGACACGTTAGCTGCAACAAAGTAGCTCATTAGCAAGTAAATGCTAAATAAGCACAGGACAAGCTCGCCTCAACGCATTAGCTTGAGCCACACTCGCTAATACTACTCCGTCAATGACAACAGAGTAGCCGTGGGAGCAGTTCACCATGACACGGTGACTGTTCCTAGTGAAGTGTGCCAAGTGACTTGGAAGCACTTACTCAGCTCAGATCCAGACTGCGTTGGGACTGCGTTCGGCGACGTATCCTAACGGTAGGCCTGGGAACAGTTAAGCAGCTAACCAAAGATAGCCTTAAAATCGTTGAGGGAGCAAATTGTAGTTTCTCACGGGAAGAAAGAGTGAGTAGGAGGGGTTGGTTGGCTGTGTATATACTGGGTGGGCGGAGGCGGAGCCTGGGCACGGCGCAACCGGTCTGTCAGGGACAGACGTGATGTCATTGGAGCTTCCGTAGTTGGTCACGCCAGGGCAATTCCCATAGTGAAACACCGAACGAAGTTAGAAAAAGAACTTGACGTCAGTGTAGCGATTAGCCGAATTTCTCTTTGTCGACTGAAGCAACAACCTCCATGAAAGGGCTGCTTGTTCTTGGTACAGGTGAGAAGCATCCTGAAGTGCTCTCCCCTTTCAGAGCCCTTTGGAGCTTGTGACTGTTGTTGCATTAAGTAAAACCCATTAGATGTTGCCTGAATCAAAATCTTTCAGCTTTCCTCCCACAGCTCAGGCTGGTCGCTGTTTCCCTCAGGCCGCCAAGTGAGGGAGTTTTATTTGAATGTAAAAGTTTATCTGGACTTAATAATCGAGAACAAGTTGAGCTGTAGTCCCAGTACGTTGAATCCGACTTCACCCAGGCAACTCAAGAGCTCACCTGGTGACTGGGTGAGAAATTTGGCAGAGATTTGTGTGAAAACAAAAAATTCACAGCAAAGGATAGGTTGACTCAGTGACGTGCTGTGCTGTAAAACTTCTGTGCAAGCTGTAAAGACTATTTTAGCAACCAGTGGAAAACTAACAGAAGGGATTATTTCAGAGCTATAACTGTCTTTTCACTCAGCTGCTGAACCAAATATTGGTTGTAAAGGAGAAAAAAATGCTGATGTTTAAAAACATCTGCAAGGTTGGACATGAAAGATTTTCCAGTGCTGTGAAAATTAAAATTAACTTCACATTGTGCCCTCATATATGTTTGTAATAATAAAACTTTTTGAAAGAGGCCTTCAGGAGACTCACCCCACCTTGTCTGTTGGTTTCTGGAGTCAGACAGGATGCCAGTAATGCAGCAACCTCTCCCTCTGCGGCGTCACTCCCTGTTCGCTGGCCAAACAATAGAATATCTTTGTTGAAGATCAGGATTCATGTTTGGACACATGAACCAAGCAGAAACATTTTGATTTCCATTCATCTGTTTGATTAAAATATTATTTACTCAAATCTGAGTAAAAAAAAACCAACAACCCTGTCTAATAGCAAAACACCTCACGAACCACTCGACGGATTTAATTGAAACTCTCGAAGTCTTCAATAAATTTACTGTTGGTCAACCCAATTTAAGATGGCTGCCGCAATTAATCGACCTCCACAAACAAAAATAACCAATTGTGTCAGTTTTACAGATGAGGTCAAGTTTAATGTAGTGGAAACTGGGTATTAACATTTGACACCAAACAAAAGTTGGTCAACTCATAAAAAAAAGATCTGGTGTGTTTATAAATGTTAGAATCAGTATTTTCTGCAGCCAGACTCATGTGGACATTGTCTACCTTTATGCAGGTGGTGAAAACAATCGGCCTGCGTGAAGTCTGGTACTTTGGACTACAGCATGTGGACACTAAAGGGTACCCCACTTGGCTAAAACTGGAGAAAAAGGTAAACATAACTTGTTGAATAATAGGCTTCTATGCTTGCTAGGTAAATATTGTTCTTTGTACAGAAATCATTCCTAACTTCTGATTGAATCATCTGACCCTCGAGTGTTATTTCTAATAATCCAACAGTTACTGATCAGTTTAAATTTGGTTTTTAATCATTGACGTCATAATTGCACAAGTTTTTTTTCTTAAATATTCTGTTAAAAACATCATCCCAAGTCTTGTAACATCGTAGAGCAATAAAAAAGAGGAATGCATTGTTTTAAGGTCATACAGACTCCAATGTTTGCATTTTAGTCAATCAGTAGCCACTGTTTAACCACGTGTACATATCCACATGTATGTTTCCACTTCCGACACGGCCGCTGATTTCGAAGCCCTGGCTGCATGTTATCTCCTGGATTCTTTGAACTCTTTATGAACCATTGCTGCCTTTTTAAACCCATTACCTGGACTACACTATCGATTTCTTTGATATGGATCATCTAAGAGACGTCATGTCTGCACCAGATGTTCTAGGCTATGTTGGTATCACGCATTGTTTTTATCTGCTTTATCTGAAGCTTTGTAGCACAAATGATGAATTAGAACTGAGCAAATCCACCGATTTTTGAACATTAGAGTAAATGGTAAATTTAGCTATTTGTTATCACTTTTCATCAAGTTTAATAAAAGGCTGCGTGGCTCACATGTTGTCGCTGTTGTGGCCACTATTGTGGGTTGCCAAATACAGCAAACTCAGCAACTCAAGCAGCTGCTTCTGAGCCTAGAAGATGTCAATAATGGAAAGGCTAATGTTAAATAATGTTGTAAAATAAAATTATTAGTAGAAATTAGTCCTTACCCTATACGACTGGACATGGTGCTGCCCGGTCACTTCACGTATCGGCAGCGATCCTGGCATCCCGACGGTTAGAAACCATGTTCTATTGTTGCAACTACAACCTCGATACACTAGATGTCGCTTTGGTGTTCGTGTTTCATATCCAACCTTTAAGTTTTACTGTTCGCAAGTCCTTCCGATCCATTCTGCAGTTTTAAAATGTTTTCCTAAACAAAAGTCAGTATGAGGCACACAGACGGGGACAAACTTGCATCAGTCAGCAGCATTAGGCTGATGTGGTGCAGCAGGTCATCAATACAATGCGAGGCTCGAACCGGATTATTCCTGGTCCCATTCTCTCAATCCGGAGTGCTTGGTCCTGTTTGGACCTCATTGGACATGAATGCGTTCTGCAGCTTGAAGTTATTAATCTATATTTCCACTAAATGAGTGGGTGGATTCCTTTATTGGACAGGTTACTGAAGTACATGTTGGTGCAGAAGTTTGCCAAATGGCTTTTATTTTTTTATGACAATCCTGACCTTTCTGCACACCAGACTTTTGGTTTCATGTAGCGAGACCCTCTTGATTTGAGTCCACCTTCTAATATAGGACTCTGGATATTCACCAAGTACATTTTAAATGTCCTCCAGGTGTCACAACAGGACATAAAGAAGGAGAACCCGCTACAGTTCAAGTTTCGGGCCAAGTTCTTCCCGGAGGATGTTTCTGAGGAGCTGATCCAGGAAATCACCCAGAGGCTCTTCTTCCTGCAGGTGAAGGACAACATCCTCTCAGACGAGATCTACTGTCCTCCAGAGACGGCCGTGCTGCTAGCCTCCTACGCCGTTCAGGCCAAGTTTGGTGATTACAACAAAGAAATCCACCAGCCTGGATATCTGGTGTCCGAACGGCTCCTGCCCCAAAGGTGAGACGCGTCGCTGAGCTCCAGACGGCCAGTCAAGCTTCCTAAGCTGCGCTGACGGCTGCAGGATGGGATTAAAGATTGTTTAGTGCCTTTTCAAGAAAATGCTTTGACTTAGTTGCTTGTTCACATTTTTAAAGACGCATTTTTTGTTTAAATTTTACAAAAAAAAATGTGTTGCTTAATTCTTCAAAGAACACTGCCTGTTTCTCTAAACGATCACAGATTAGAGTCTAAAGTTCCTTCCTTTTCAGATCGTATCTGAACAAATGCAAATCAGGTGACTGGTGGCTAAGTCAGACTTGTGCGGTTTAGATTAATTGTGTGTGTGTGTGTGTGTGTGTGTGTGTGTGTGTGTGTGTGTGTGTGTGTGTGTGTGTGTGTGTGTGTGTGTGTGTGTGTGTGTGTGTGTGTGTGTGTGTGTGTGTGTGTGTGTGTGTGTGTGTGTGTGTGTGTGTGTGTGTGTGTGTGTGTGTGTGTGTGTGTGTGTGTGTGTGTGTGTGTGTGTGTGTGTGTGTGTGTGTGTGTGTGTGTGTGTGTGTGTGTGTGTGTGTGTGTGTGTGTGTGTGTGTGTGTGTGTGTGTGTGTGTGTGTGTGTGTGTGTGTGTGTGTGTGTGTGTGTGTGTGTGTGTGTGTGTGTGTGTGTGTGTGTGTGTGTGTGTGTGTGTGTGTGTGTGTGTGTGTGTGTGTGTAAAGTTCTTTGTCTTCTAGTTGCTAATTCCAGCTGAGTATTCCTATGCCAAACTTGCACTTTTTACATTATGCTGCATATAAATACGGTCATTTAAGTGAATTCCCTGATTTATTAGTGTTTTCTGTTAAGCCATGTGTAAAATCATTGAATTTATTTATTTTTCCACCCTGTATTTAGAGTCCTTGAGCAGCACAAGTTATCCAGAGAACAGTGGGAGGAGAGGATCCAGGTGTGGCACGAGGAGCACTTTGGGATGCTGAAGTGAGTTGCTCCAACCTTTAACCTTAATCTAATCTGTAAATCCTGTTGCTCCAGTCAGGTGGAAAAATTTATGTTTTTAATTTCTTGATCTGCTTGCAGGGAGGATGCCATGATGGAATACCTAAAGATTTCCCAGGATCTGGAAATGTATGGAGTAAACTATTTTGACATCAAGAACAAGAAGGGAACAGATCTGCGACTAGGAGTGGACGCACTGGGACTCAACATTTATGAGAGAGATGACAGGTGAGTGTAGTGTTTCAGCAGACTAGGCGTGTGTGTGCCAGAGTTCAGCAGATCCACGTCTGTTCCTAGTTACTGTTTCTGTTGCCGTGCACAACAAGGAGGGATGTCATTTTTTCTAAAGAACTATAATCTAGAACAATGTTTTAATCTATAAAGTAAAAAAAATTGCTTTTTTAATCATTTAAGAATAAAGTTAGATTTTGATTAAACTTCAGACATGAGGAAGTTTAGATTTTTTTCGTTTTGAGAATAGAGTCAAACTGAATGAATGAAACCTTTTCATCAGGGAAATTCATAAAACTGCAACATCAAAGGTCTACATTAATCTAGATGCCCTGGTGTGAGCTGGAAAATGACTTAAAGATGTCTAATGGTGATCAGGTCTGTGTTGTACTTTCAAAACAAAGAAAATAACTATAATACAGAAAATTAGCATTTTCAAGCAAGAGTTACACTTGATAAGATGTTTTATTTTTACTTCTAAACACAAGATTACAATAATGTACAAAACAGCTCATTTTTGCACAATTTATTTTCTTAATGAGTCTCTGACACATTTCCTGGAGTTTCAGACTACCACTGAAACCTTCATCCGATAAAATATTTGTTGTTGTTTTGGGGATGCTCGATAATGGCTTTTTAAACGATATCCGACATACCCATATTGTCTGACTCTTACAATGCCGACCTAAACCGATATCAATGTGTCCCCTTCTCATGAAGACAAAGTAAAACATTTTAGGTTACTAACATCACATATTTCCTATTATGCTTAAATTTTAAACATTTTATGTGCAAAATGACAATTACTTCAAGTTAGTAACCGAAAAAGTGCCACGTTCTTTTGTCTCCAACAACAGCTGAATCTCATTCTCCCTAAGCGTGACGCTAAGATGTGTTTATTAGTTAGTGATGTTTATTTTTCTGTGTATTACAGCTGCGTGATAAAACATTTATAAAGATTTTTGATAAGAAAAGCAAGCTATGGGTGAAGATTCTTGTTTTGTTTTAGTCGTTTGTTAGCGTGCTAGCTGCACTTGGCTGCGTGGTGAGGACAGACTACGTTCACTACATGGGGCACATTTCTACTTTACAAGTTGTGCCAAATTAACTAAAATATCTCAAAAACTTTACTTCCAATCTGTCATTATTTTGATGTTTTGTGAGAGGAGAAGAAGCTGAAGAGTATAATATGTACATGGTGTGTAAGAGTTGGTTAATTAGAAGACTGAATCTGATATTTTCCGATATAAAATTGGAATGCCGATATCGACTGATATTAGTGGTAGATTGTTTATATTGGATGTCCCTAGTTGTTTTGTTTTGAAACTGCTAGGAGTTGAAGGTGGACACTTGATTAGACTTTAGGGGAAATTGAGGATGGGCCATTTAAATGTAGTTGCCCTTTTAGGTGTGTTGTCATTTCTGCTTCACATTTATGATGCAAATTAGACGGGGAAATATTTTTTATCACCATTGTTCGATGGCTAAAGGGGGTTTTGAACTCCAGATGCCAGATCTCACTGGCGCTGTGATTTACACCTGATGGCTCGGTCTCGCACCTAAAAGGAAAAAAGTTGCTGAACCAGGTTTACTCCTACAGTCAGTCACTACCTACTTTTCCTGTTTAGAAGAAAGAAATGTAAATATTCCTGTTTTGAATCATCCTCTGAGCTTGTAGGATGACCTATTTTTCATTCCACCTTGTTTGTGGAACAGAATCGTGTGTGTGTGTGTGTGTGTGTGTGTGTGTGTGTGTGTGTGCGTGTGTGTGTGGTGGTGGGGGGGGGGGGGGGAACACATCTTTAGTGTGCTGAAGTGGCTTCTGCGATCTCGTGTGTGGGGTGACTGGAATGAAGTGTGCAGTTTTATAAGCACTCTTCATCCCAGGTGACTCACCTTTCGGTCAGCGACCTTGCTCTAGATTTGCTCCCAGCTCTGCTAGGCTGAGTTGTTGCAGATTAGAGCCTTTCCCGTTTTCAAGGCCTCTTCATGCCAAGTCACCTGTTCAGGTCTGCTTGTGGAAGAAACAAACATAACATGTTTTCGGTAATGACGACATTAACCCTGTCTGCCTCCCGAGGATCTTAAACACAATTCTTTGTCTTCTTCCTTCTTAAACATTGAAATCTGACTGTCGTATTTCCCTGACTCAAATTATAGGTTAAAAAATCAGGATCATTAGGTTTTTTTATGCTTTTGGGATCAGCAGAGACAGAGGCCTCTCCTCTATGGTGCCCTCTGCTGTAACCATGGATACAACAGGTTTTTCAAGCTGTGCACACTTAAGAATGTGTGACAAACCTACAACTCATTACTCCAATGAGGACAGCCGCCCTATAATGCAACAGTGCAGCGAAGGCTTGGAGCTTTTTTTTTTAACTCATTATGCTCCAGGGTTTGACATGAAATCACAATTTAAAAAAAAGGGTGGTGACAGATTCTGAACCAGTAAAAATGGTGTACGTATTTTGAATAAAACGGATGAATTTTTTTTAACTTGACTAAAATGTCTGAAATGTAATTTTAAAAAAATGCAGGTTACGAATCAATGTCTACAAAAAACGCAGCTTATTTGTAAACCTTAATAAAATAAAGACCATTTTCTTTTTGTTTCACAGCACAAAACACAATTTATTTTCCTAGACTTTTGACATAATAGTAGATAATATAGTGATTTTTTAAAGCTAGAGATACAAAAGCTGAATTCTCGAGATGGAGAATTATTATTACTGTATATTGTAAAAAACAAACAAACAAATATTTAGTTTAAAGTCCCTATTAGTCCACAGAAAACCAACAAAATCCCTCTGCTTTTCCAGTTTTAGCAGTGACGCATCACAGCTTGATATCTGTTGAAATATTCGCTGTCTCAATTACTCCTGCGCGTGTCAGGATTTGTGCCAAAGTGAAATTCCAGTTTTGGGAGTTCAGTTTCACAGGGAGTTTCGCCGCCTGGCTTTTCTAGATTATGACACTATCGGCTTGTTCATGTTTACAGTGTAACTGCAGTGTGCTGATTGAGATTAGCAGCAGTTCAGGTTGTCTGGCACAACGGAGCCGGAGAGCAAACACGCCCCAGATTTATCCCGCGTCCACATTCCCAGTCAGCCAATGTGAGGATTAGTCTGACAGGACAGTTTATACCAAGGGACATTAGTTGTACGCGTGTCTGCAATGATAACCGGTGCTGAAACTGATCCTTGTTCTCAAAATCACTTACTCTGATATGTGGAACAAAAGCTATTTGACAAATAAAGATGAGGATTTATAAAGGCCAAGCTAGAGAATATTCATATTCTAATGAAAAATAAAATAATTCTGTGATGAATGCACAAGGTGTTGGTTGGATGTTGTCCAATCCTGGTCCTCAAGGGTCCACCATGTTTTGAAATTGGGGCGTTTCAAAGGCTTCTGTAGAGCTTGAGCTGCTAAACAGGTCATACCACCAATTAACTCAGGTGTGTTGGAGCAAAGAGCAACAAAATCATGCTGAATAGGGGGCCTCCAGAATCTAGTGGCTGCAGATTTAAAGGCTTTTAGTGCATTTTTATGTGAAACTACTTTAAATTAGCAAGTAACCATAAACTGAAAAGGAAAATAAAACAGTCCAGTATGTGATGCTTAAAAATAAAACATGCAGCCGACTTAAATATTAAAGACTCGGCCTTTAGATTATTATTTTATCTAGGGTTGCACCGATATGAAAATGTGGGCCGATATCAGTATTCGATATTAATATCGCTATTCTACACAATAAGTGATATTTACTGACATTGTGTTATTTTGTGTAATAATACTGACTCGATATGTAAAAGCAGTGTATACGTTTTTTAATAAGATTTTACAAGCAAAGGTTTACTATAATTCTTTTGTGTGGTGCTTTTCCAACCCTGACTGCTAGGTGGCAGCAGTTTTTTACCACCTTCACTCTCTAGTTTTAGTTGGACCTGAACAACCTAGTAGTTCTATCTGTCCAGGCTGTATTCCAGCTGTGATGTACATTTAGGACTCGTGTGTTTGCGCATGCAGTACTAATAAAGTTTATGTATTTATCTTATTTTCAGGTTAACCCCAAAGATCGGCTTCCCCTGGAGCGAGATCAGAAACATTTCCTTCAACGATAAGAAGTTCATCATCAAACCCATCGACAAAAAATCTCCGGTGAGTCACTTTTCTCGCAGAACTTCTGAACACATTGTTGTTTCCTTTTGAACGCTTTATGAGTCAATACTCCTCATGTACGCCCGTGAAAGCCCCATCTTACTTCTCTGAACATTTTGTTTCCAATTCCATTTTTGGTTCCTTTTTAAAACACAGGAAAGGTTTCTCTTTACCTTGCTAACGTTTCGTTTGCCGACTGCAATGTAACCCATTGCAGTCGGCAAACGAAACGTTAGCAAGGTAAAGAGAAACCTGTCCTATGTTTTAAAAGGAACCAAAAATGGAATTGGAAACTAGACGCAGTAAAAACACACGTAGCTTCTCCATGGGAAAAGAGAAAGTGTTCCACATGTCTTGGATGCAGTCTAGCATGTAAAAGTCACAGCTGCTTTCTTGACAATGCCTTTTAGTAATTAACTACTCAAGCAAAACCAGTGGTATCAACTACATTTGGCTGCTGCAGGCTGCTGTTGAAGTGCATTAGAATATTTTTTTCTCCTTCAAACTTCAGGACTTTGTCTTCTACGCCCCGAGATTGAGGATCAACAAGCGCATCCTGCACCTGTGTATGGGTAACCACGAGCTGTACATGCGTCGCCGCAAACCCGACACGATTGAGGTTCAGCAGATGAAGGCCCAAGCCAAAGAGGAGAAGCACCAGAAACAGATGGAGAGGTACTTAAACACCCAAACACAAAATATTTGTTGTTTTTATTTAAATTCTCTATATTACAATCAAACTTTTGACACAGCAAATCCACAATGATAAAGAACTTTAGTTGATAGTTAATTGATCCGAGCTGGAGCCTGAAGCTATTTGACTCATTTTTAATAACAATAATCTACTTCTTGCATCATCAACTGAACTTAAACCGAAGGCGACCTCGGTCTGAGCGGCAGCTGTTGTCCTGTCTGTCCCAAACAGCTGTTCAAACATGATGACGTAACACAACACTGTTACAAAAGAAACTCATAAAAACGCACCAGGAGCTAACAGACAAGAGTCCAGGGTCACACACAGTAGCTGACAATAATGTTTAATAATGTTTATGTAACCCCCCCCCCCCCCCCCCCCCCCCCACACACAGGTACCGTAAATCCTCTAATATTAGCCTGTATTTAATTAACTATTTATATATATTGGCCGGTGTCGGAGTCGGCAGAGGTGAATAATGGCCGTTTTTTTATTGTGGCCGGGTGGAATGTGGTAACAAGCAAGTACGGGGGGGTGGCTGTGTCATCTGTCTCACTTTTGATTGGCCAGTGATAGACCGCGAGGGTAACTAACCGTGCGGAGACGAAGAGGAGGCGAAAATTTGATATCAAGTTCAAAGAGAACGTGCTTATTATGCTGCAGAACACTCTGGGGAGCAGTAGGGGTTGTATGAACTAGTCAATAGTCGACTTCACTGTTCTATAGTGACTTTTTATGCCCGTCATCGACTAGTCGCTGTCACGTGATAATGACCGGCAAGATGCAGTCCACGGAAAAGACAGCAGCCTGCTGTCAGCAGGTGACAAGCTCCTGCGCGTCGGGAGGCAACGCGCTGTGCCAGAGCGTCGGTACTGACACCCGCCGTAAAACAGACATTTAACCAAATTGTGACGTTTACCCTCTTGCAATTTAACCTTCCCCTAACCCCCATCCTAACCTTAACCAGCTTGCGCATGCAAAGCTCTGATTGTTGATGCGCTCCAGACATCTGCGTCCTGAGCACGGCCACAGTAACATTATCAAATCAGGTGTTGCCACCTCAAAAACTAATTTAACACGCGATCGTTCATGTCGGCTCATTTCCTTTTATGTTTTCTGTCTTTTATTTGTGCCTGATGCGTTTCGCTGCTGTGGAGCGGGGTGCTTCACCTGTTTTGTCCTCCGGTGACGCACCGATCACTGATGCGGCCGGCGAGCAGCGCGCACTCCGCTGTTTTTGCGGTCGGTAGATCTTTTAGAACTGCAGTTCAAAGGTAACTCTTGAGGTGAATATATATGAACCCAGGTAGCAGTTTTTCTTTAGGATTGAGAGGAGATGCAGGAAGATAATAAACAGACAGGACAGAAAAATAGTCAAATAAAAACAAGTTAATTTTTGTACCTGGTGGTTGCAACAAACAGACACCACTGAAGGTAATCAGAAGTGAGGAACAGAAAATGAAATAATTATTTTAATGTTTAGAGCATTAGGGCTGCAGGCGCATCAGTGAGTTTGCGGCCGCTGCGCAGGGGGAGGGGGGAGATGGCTGAAGCAGAAACTACCGTTGTTAAAAGAAATGTGTTTAACTTTGAAAATGTGGGCGCAATTTTAATTGTCAAAAACTCCAGCGAACCATTAGTTCATTTTGCTCAAATAGAAATCGAGGCCTGCCTCTAATTCTGGCCCTCCTTCCAATAAAGGCCTGGAGCTTGATGAGCTTGATTCAAATACAGGCCCGGGCCTGTATTAGAGGATTTACGGTATGTGTTCTCACAATAACAAAAAAAACATCAGCTGTAAATAAGAGTATTAAATGTTGAGCAGGTTTCAGTATCACTTGCATGGAGGTTATTGAGCTTTATTATAATAAACAAAATATGTTTTAAATATCAGCTTTCATAAAACCTGCAATTTGTGATAAAACCCCAGCCTGGCCTGCCAGACTCCTCTGTTTAATTCTGCACAGATATAACCAAATAACCCCACCCCCTGAGAAGTCTAACCGAGCCAATCAGCGGTGAGTAGCGTACGTCACACTCCATAACGCTGAGTTTGTCATAAACACGGTGACTGAAGCAGAGTTCGCTGTGGCTCTTTCCTCTGTTCTAAATGACTTGAATGTCTTTAAACCCACAACAAGTAGAAGCGCTAAAAGCCTGGTGGTTCAGAACGCCTGTGCTCGGCTTCTGACCAAGTCCTCCAAACACACCCACATCACCCCGCTTCTCCTCCAGCTTCAACTTCAGGGTTCATTTCAAGATCCTGGTTCTGGTCTATAGGGCCTTACATGGACAAGCACCATCTTACATTGGTGATCTTCTTAGTCCCCACACCCCCAGCAGGTCCCTGAGGTCCAGTGATCAAAGCCTACTGGTTGTGCAGCACCAGGCTAAAGACCAAAGGTGCGAGATCATTTGCTGCTGTGGCCCCGAGATTCTGGACCTCTCTCCCCCTGAGCCTGAGATCAGTGGACTCCTTTAAAAAGCAGCTGAAAACTCACCTGTTCAAGCTTTGGTGTGACCTTCATCACCACCCTTGCCATTCTGCTCTGCCCACCAGTGGCAGCTGGTGAAAAATATTTTTGGTGGGGCTGTGCTATTTTTTTATTTTTAAACAAACTTGTGCTTTCTGAGCTTTGTGCACAACTTCACTATTTCCTGAATTAAGCACAGCTCTTTTATTTCCTGTCTTACATCATTGGACAAACTGATTAATCCAGGTGTGTCTGACTATTGGCACGCTGCCTTGCGGACCAAGGTTGAAACATACTGCATTAAATTGCACATAAAATAACATGACCATAAATGGTAAATAGGCAATGCAAGAGGCAAGTAACAAAAACACTTTGTTTAATTTCAACATTTGGGTGAACACCAAAAATTATGAGCAGGTCACTGTTACAGTAAAACGCTACTTAGACAGAATTCCAGAAATTTACACTGTTAAATATTTCTGGAGTGTTGTGCCAAGGTCAACTTTATACAAAGATCAAGTGGATGCATTTGTGTGTGTGTGTGTGATACCTCATTTGTACAGAAATTTTGCCCTTCTGTCCTTCTGAGTGGCAAAGCTCTCGATTAGCTTTTTATTGAAGTCAGGAATGTTTGTGACAAGCTTTTTTTTCCCATGGAGAGCATGGCAAGAGCATTCAGTCCATCCTGTGTCATGGTGTTCCTCAAGGAAAGTCTTAATCCTCTTTAAAGTAGAAAAGCACCTTTCTGTTTCGGCTGTGGTCATGGGTGTGGTGACAAGAACCTTCTTTTGCATGGCTCAGGATGGTGTGAAAAACCTGTCATATGATAAATAAAAAACAACAGATAAGTACATAGGAAACACTTTTATAGGAAATAATGTCATCAGTATCCTCTTACAAATGTCATATTTCCCAGTTTTTGGGACAATAAAACATTTCAGATTCTCAATCAGATGTTTTACATTTGAGGTAAAAACATCTAATTGAGAATCAGAAATGTTTAATTGTCCCAAAAGCTGGGAAATTTGTTTGCTGCAGCAGAAGTGTAACAAGTAAAATGGAATCAGATTGATGTATGTACAAATTTACATGAAATACACATTTACGTGATTAAATATGTATAATAAGTATGTGTGTTGAAATTAGTTTTTACAGTTATTGCACATTAAACATGTTATTAAACAAATGTCCCGGTTTGTGGGACAACCAAGGATTTCTGATTCTGATAGTCTTGTTCACAGAAATGTAATGTACAGCTTACCTCTGCACCCAGCTGCTGTTGTTCCCTGCATGGCAACGTTAGCTCTGCTGCCTAGCATGGCTAGCTTCACCGTGTTGTTGTCCATGTGTGCCCAGGATGACTCGTGTTTCTTCACCTTCTCAGAAAAATGTTTCATGTCTGTAACTCCTGACTCATCCATGCCTTATCTGTCCCAGCCGTTTTGAATAACAAACACGGAAAGCAAAATAACGCATTAGCGTGATTGCATGCAGCTAGCCAAGCCTTCCTGGTGTACCAATTTCGGGAGAAGCCTAGTGTGTACAGTTTACCTCTCTCCTTCTCCTGCTGGCTTATCTTTACGTCGGGCTGATCTGGTCCAAGCTCTTTGACATTAAGTTTTTCCACCATAGTTCTCCTCTCGAACGGATACTGGAGAAGAGACCGAACGGAATTCAGTGGCTGCAGAGATCCGGTATCCATGCTGGTTGTAGTCACCGGCGGCGTCCATGTTACATCTGCGTCACGACCAAAAACGACTCTGCCGAGTTCTACCGAACACCAACGAAACCTTTGGCGGTAGCTCCATCGCCCATCATGCTTCTGAAACGTTCTGAAACAACGTCGACGCTGATTGGATACGTTCCCATTCCTACCCTTTGATATTCTTGTCAGCAATTGGACAGCTGGTCTCGTCCTGTTTGGGCGATTGAAAAACAGCACACAGCCTCCACCGCTCGGCAGAGACCGGCAGAGATCGGCAGAGACCAATATATATATATATATATATATATATATATATATATAGATAGATAGATAGATAGATAGATAGATAGATAGATAGATAGATATGATTTATTTTTGTTACAAAACACACAATTAACTTAGAATATGTGATTATTGTTAATTTTATTTATTTATTTTTTAAAATAAAAATTAAAAACACGGAAAAACTGGGAGGGCGGCACCCTATCGCCCTCTACTGGCCAGCCGCCACTGCTGCCCACCTATTCCACCTTCCTCAGATCCACTGATTTCCCTCTTTCCTATTCACTCTCTCTTTCTTAACATTTTTAACCACAATTTTCTATTTTTGCTCATTTTAAATATATATTTTTAAACATTTTCTAAATTCTTTTTTATATTTGTACATTCTTTGTTCTTGTGAAGCGCGTCGTGATTTTTATCTTGAGAGGCGCTATAGAAATATTTTTTTCTTCTTCTTTTTTTTCTTTCTTTTTTCTTTTTTTTTCTTTCATTTTTTTTCTTCTAAAACAATAAAAGATGTTTGCACCTTTGCCAAACGCCATTTTTGACTACAGTTAAAAAACTACAGTGTCGCGCGGTACAGTTGGCATTTCTGTCTTTTTTCTGATTGGTCATCTTTGAGCTGCCTAGTCCTCACGTGCCTCTCTGCCTGTGAGTAACCAGACTCTTCTCTGTGCAGAATTAAACTGAGGACGAGTCTGGCAGGCCAGGCTAGTAAAACCCACCTTTTGAAGTACCTTTTTCCGCTATTTTCATTGGGTCTTACAGATGTGGAACACTGAAAAATAATTTTGTAATGACTACTTCTGATTATATTCTGTCACTCGTGAGTTTTTCATGCAGGTCAAACATGAAAATAGTCTCCTACACCTATCTCCTGATAGAAAATAGACGGTGAAACTGTCTTTGTAAAAAGAGCTGCTTCTGCAAACATAAGCTGATCCTCATTTTGTGTACCGTTTGTTTTTAAAACATCGTTATTTGTGTTTTCTCTTCAGGGCTCAGCTGGAAAACGAGAAGAAGAGGAGAGAAGCCATCGAGAAGGAGAAGGAGCAGGTGGAGCGGGACAAACAGGATCTGATGATAAAGCTGTTCCAGTTTGAGGAGAAAAACAAGAAGGCAGAGAAAGGTGTGAGGGGGTGGGGCTTTCATTCCACTCTGAGGGTACTTGTGTGACTACAGAAGCCCTTTTTACAAGACACACCATGCCGGCAAATCGGCGTAATATTACAGCAAAATATTACCACAATGGTATGTCTATAAATGCGCCACGCCGGCATGGTGTTGCTCAAATTTTGCTGCATTGGTTCCGTCTCACTTGGTAGTAATAGTGCATTAATGGTCTGTTGTATGCACCCTGGTGCAACAAAGGCAGATGTCATGATGACGTGGGGCTCCGGCTGGCAAATTTATTGAAAATGAAAGTAAACACAGGCAATAAGGTTTGCTTTTTGAACAAAATCAGCTGAGATGGCATAGTGTTAGAGCTGAAGCTCAGATCACCAGAGACTGCACAGGGACTGATGGGGACGGACACCTTTAGGAGCTGCTTGTTAAACGGAAGTCTGCGGCAGCGTAGAGACCGCCCCATACCCCATTTATGCCGCCATCACCTAATCTTTTAAAAAATTGCCACTTTTGCGAGACGTCTGATCTTATAAACGACCTTTATCGTCCCCAGGGAGCCGCGGCAAATCCCGTTTTGCAAACGCTATGGTCCTGTAAAAACGGCTATAGAGACTACATGGAGTATCTGAGCACATGCTTTTATGGTAAACACCTAAACTGTGATCAGCTGATCTGAAACTCAGAAATCACATGAATTTTTTATTCTCTGGTTCTTGAACGTATCTTTGCAAAGCCGTAAAATGTCCAGCTATCCCACCAGCAACAGCAGATCTTAGTAAACGTTTTATTACCCACAGTGTAAATATGCTATCAGACTGTTAGAAGAGTATTTAATATTGAGGATTAAACTACCTTCACCCCGGGATTTAATAAACAGGAAGAAATTGATTCATCTCCAAATAGGTAGAGAATATTTTATGTACTTTTGGGAGTAAACGCCTAACTGTTTCTTGTGTGTTTTTAGAATTGCAGGAGCAGCTGCAGAGAGCCATGATGCTGGAGCAGGAGCGGAGGAGAGCGTCAGAGGAGGCGGCTCGACTGGAGCGGGAGCGTCAGGCAGCCCTGCTGGCTAAAGAAGAGCTGGCTCGACAGGCTGAGAGTCAGAAGAAGACTCAGGAGCAGCTGGTCAGTGTTTTCATGGCTCAAGCTCACAATTGAATCACATTTGTCCTTTTTTGATGCGACTAAATAAACAAAACACGACACATGTAGTATTTAAAAACATTAATTGCATTTCTGCTTTTTCAGGCTGCTGAGCTGGCAGAGCACTCAGCCAAGATTGCTCTGCTGGAGGAGGCCAGGAGACGCAAGGAGGAGGAGGCTGCAACATGGCAGCACCGGGTGAGACGGCTCAGCAGTTCAACTCTGGATTTAGGAATATCAGTCAAGTCTCGTTTGTTTAGATAAAATGATTGAATCTGTCATCGCCAGGCTCGAGAGGCTCAGGACGATCTGGTGAGGACCAAGGAGGAGCTGGACATGGCAACGACGATACCCCCGCCTCCTCCACCTCCCCCCATGTACGACCACGGGGACGAGAACTACAGCGACAGCGAGGAGAACTACAGCGAGCACAGCGCCGAGCTCAACATGGAAGGCATCAATGACCACCGCAAGGAGGAAGAACGTCTGACGGAGGCTGAGAAGAACGAGCGCGTTCAGAAGCAGCTGAAGGTAAAGACGCGTTTACACGGCAAACTCAAATAATTTTACCCTAAAATGATCTGTTTGGTTTATCATCCTGATCAGATCAATCGTTTAATTATAGATTAACTAGGATCAACACAATAAAGTTTATCTCGCCAAATAGAATATTTCCTAAGAAATCAAAATGTTACCATAGAAACACTACTTGGTATATATGCTGTGTGTGGGTGTGGGGGTGTGGGTGTGGGTGGGGGTGTGTGGGGGTGTGTGGGTGGGTGGGTGGGTGGGTTAGTTTTGGTGTGTGTGTCTGCTCTGTCTTCTCCATCCCCAGTGAGTCATGGTGGATGGCTGCTTATACTGAGCCAGGATCCTCTGGAGGTTTCTTCCTGTTAAAAGGGAGTTTTCCTCTCCACTGTCACTGCATGCTTGCTTAGTATGAGGACTGCTGTAAATTTGCTGGGTTCCTTATATAGGAAACTTTTGAACTGGCCTGTATTGGAATGTTTACTGTGTGAAGTGCCTTGAGACGACTCTTGTCGTGATTTGGCGCTTTATAAATAAAATTGAATTGAATCGAAAAACCTTCACGGCTGCCAAACGGCACTGTTTTTGTTTTTCTGTGAGCAAAATAAACACGTTTGTAGAAGACATTTTTATTTCCCGTTCCTCCGTTACACATAGTCAGCTGTCACGCATTCCTAAAAAATAAATACAGATAGTGTTTTTGTTTTTGTTTTACTTGAGCTACAGGTTGAGTTGCACATTTAATGGAAAATAAAACGAAACGTATTTAAAAACTTTCCACCTAAAAGAAACTTATATGAATGTTTTTGCTGAATTTATTAAAAATGTAGCTCAGAAGCTGAATTTATCTGTCTACTTTAAAAAAACAGTAAATTTTTTTATAACTACTAATATTTACTGTTTACATTTTCAGTTTTATATCATAATTCTCACCCTGCTCACGTACATGGCCCAGCCAAAAAGAAAGTTGCCACCCAGATTTTGTTCAACTGTCTTAAGCTTTGACTATGATTACACACATTCGCTGAGGCGTTGTTTTGATGAGCTTTCACAACGTCACCATATTTATTTCCATCCAGTGTTGCATTAATGTTTCACCAAGATCTTGCATTGATGATGGTAGAGTCTGACGGCTGCACAAAGCCTTCTCCAGCACATCCCAAAGATTCTCATTGGAGTTAAGGTCTGAAATCTGGTGGCCAATCCATGTGTGGAAAGGATGTCTCGTGCTCTCTGAACCACTCTTTCACTATTTGAGCCCGATGAATCCTGGCATTGTCATCCTGGAATATGCTCGTGCCATCATGGAAGATGGAATAATCTGGTCATTCAGTATATTCAGGCAGTCAGCTGACCTCATTCTTGGAACACGTCCTGTTGCTGAACCTAGACCTGACCAACTGCAGCAAGCCCAGATCATAGCACTGCCCCCACAGGCTTGTGCATGATGGGTGCATCACTTCATCCGCCTCTCTTCTCACCCTGATGCACCATCACTCTGCAATCTCATTAGATGCTTCTCTGCTTGATCCATGCCAGTGATCTGACCCTTCTCAAACATCTTTTCAATGACCACCAGATGTCTTTCCACACGGTTGAAATGAGAAGCAGCTCATTGTACTAGTTAGGGTTAAATAACTTGTTGCTGCTGAAAGATAATCACTCGTGCAGCAATTTTCCAATAGGAGGTTCCCATTTGCTTAGTTAAATCAAGGTGTCAGCTGTTTTTTGGGTCAGCGGTGCATAACACCCTGGGGACCAACATTAGTCATTATGAGTGTTTTTACAAAAAAAAGGTTTGTTTTTCTTTATCAAAACACAAAAAGCACCTAGAAAAGATGAAATAAATCATAAAATTGTAGAAACATGAATTTCGTTGACACCCGTATTTTTGTTTAACTTGTTTGTGATTCATTCATTTCCTTTTCATATAGCCTAGCAAACCATCCTTTATATGTAAATATACAGGATGGCCACGACCCATAGAGAGAACTCAGTTATATGGCAGAAGCTATGGTTATCTTTCAAATGGTCTCTGCACACAATTGCTAGGACGTATTCATCGCCACGGTTATCAGTTAACTGGTCATACCCCATTGAAGAAAAAGAAGCAAATACATATTTTTCTAAATAAATTTCTTAAGGACATCTTATCTGCTCCTGTCTCAAAAGCCCGAGTCCAAATCCAAAGCCATTTCTAACAAGCACGGTTCCTGAGCCTACACCATATTTGTAGTTTTTCTCCATCGCAGCTTTGGTGTTAATGGTGTAATAAGACACAAAACTGTTCAGGCCAATGGTAGAGTTGCTGAGGCTACAGTGGAGCGTGGCTAGACCCACCTGCGGAGCTCTTTTGCTACTGCTAAAGTTGGTCTAGATTTCTAGGCTGGCATTTTTCTGCTGCTAGTAACATTTATGCTAATATTGCAGAATAAAGGCTTTGCACAGGAATGTTTTTTAATTTTTTTTTGAATGGAGCTGTTTTAGGACACAGCAATACGCCTAACCTAACAGTTCTGTTGGACGTTAACATTTCAGATGTGAATATTATGTTCTAATTGCAGAAAGTAATTTTTCAGAGAAGTCAGGATGGCTCAACAGACACTGATGTGGTTGTCGTGTTTTTGTTGCTTAATATAGTCGTCTTCTCTCCCTTCCCACTCAGGCTCTGACCTCTGAGCTGGCTCAGGCACGAGATGAAACCAAGAACACCCAGAACGACCTCCTTCACAGCGAGAACGTGCGGGCCGGCCGAGACAAATACAAGACCCTGCGACAGATCCGGCAGGGCAACACCAAGCAGAGGATCGACGAGTTTGAAGCCTTATAGGAAGCCTTTGCTGCTTTGCCACATCCCCTTTCTGACTGGTCACTACACCTCTCTGCTCTGCTGACACAAGCTCTAACTCACCCAAAGTCGCACGCCGGCTTGGTTTTGGTCTTACCTGGAGCTGTAGAAGCACCGTAGACACACGGAGATCAACTCTTCCTGTGAGTTTGTCAGGCAGGATGAAGGGCTTTGCTAAACCTTCGCAGGTAACTTAGTGCCAAAAACCGTCTGCCCTCGTTCTTTTTTTAGTGTCAAGTATTCTTCATGGATCTAATTGTGTGTGAATTCTGATCAGTTCAGACCAAAATCAATTCTTTGTGTTGACGTCAGGGAAGAAATTCTGCTTGATGCAATCAGAGCTTCGCTTCTTCATGTGTTGTAGTTTATGGCTACCAATCAGAAAGGGCACTACAGTATATGCAGCTCTTTGTCTGTTTTCCACTTTTATTTGAACACTTCCACTTATGTTTATCATTGCTAGAGAGTAGTAGAAAACCATGCCTAGTTGGTTATTTATGCTGAATGTGGGACATTAAAAGGGTATTTCCTCTTGGTTTGTATATTTTTGCTCTCTACCAACGATAGAAGCTTTTACTGTTTCAAAAGCTTTTCTGTACTGACCAAAATGAATCGTTGGAGGTGTGATCCATATACTTTCCTTTATATCACCTAATTAAAGAAATGAAAATGTAAATTATTATTTTTATTGCAGATGAAATTCAGCTGCTTGACATTCAAATCAGTTCTGATGAGATTGCTGCGTAAGCCTAGTCTGGCTGGCACGTGTAGGATTTCCTGTTATTTTTTTCTTATTTTGTGTCCGGTTACAGAACGAGTGAGCCTGTAGTATGAGACCTCGCCTCTTCTAAAGCTGCCTGCTTTATCCAAGATGAAACTGTAAACGGCAACGCTGGAACGTGTATATAACCAAGATTTTACAATGAGGTGTTGAACATAAAGGCAATAAAGAAACAATTTTACATTTTTGTATGTTTCTTTTTTTTTTGAGTGGTTTATAAGAAAGCAGTGCACTCATTATTTTGCAGGTGATCAGACGGAAGAAATTTTGATGTAGATGTTCATGGTTTTTTTTTTGGTATGTTTTATGTTAAAGATAAGTTCTTGATAAGATTGCCTCCGGCAAAGAAGAAACGTTGAGGCTGAGAAGATGTTTTATGTTTGAATCAAGTCAACAGTGTAAAACCAGAAAACATGCATTCATACAAACCGTAGCTTTATTTTTTTTTTTCAAACTACACATACGCACAAAAGGGTATGCTTTTAAGAGACTATGTAGTTTTAACCATTAATCTGCAAATATCCATCAAAATGTTGACAATTAAATGATGCCCAGTTGTTGAAAAATATTGGCAGCTTTAAAAAGCATAACCATAAAAACCAGGTCTAAAATACAGGGGAGCAGGTCTAAGTCTCTTCCTCCTGTTTAATTCTGCACAGAGAAAAGGTCTGGGAAGTCTATTCAAATAACCTAGAAAGAAAGGCTCTTGGCTCTTTTACAGGGAGAGCACCCAGCCACTGGATGACACCTGGGTCAAAATCAAAACACAAGAAGTGGAATCCTTCACTGCGCACATCAACGCCGTGGACAAAAACATCAAGTTCACCAGGGAAAACATAAAGGACAACTGCTTGCCTTTCCTGGACTGCGCTGTGCACTTTGAAGAAAATGGCAACCTCAACATTGAAGTGTACCGGAAGCCCACACACACGGACCAGTACCTCCTCTTCAACTCACATCACCCTCTGGAACACAAACTTAGAGTAATCAAGACCTTACACCCCCGGGCAGAACATGTTCCCTCTAAGCCGTCAGGGAAAAAGAAGGAACACACACATATAAAGGAATCACTTAAAACATGTGGCTATCCTAAATGGGCGTTTATAAAGTCAGCAAAGATGACCAGAAAAGAAGACCAGACACCAGCGAGGGAGGATAAGAAAGACAGATGCAACAACCTTGTCATCCCCTATGTAGCCGGTGTATCAGAGAAACTCAGGAGGGTTTTCTCCAAACACAACATACCAGTGTACTTCAGACCCAGCAACACACTCAGACAGAAACTGGTTCACCCGAAAGACAAAACTCCTAAACACAAACTGAACAATGTGGTGTATGCTGTACAGTGCAGCGAGGAATGCCCAGACCTCTACATCGGAGAAACCAAAAAGCCACTTCACAAGCGCATGGCACAACATAGAAGAGCCACCTCCACGGGACAGGACTCAGCAGTTCATTTGCATCTAAAGGACAAAGGTCACTCTTTCGAGGATGCCAACGTTCACATTTTGGACAGAGAGGACAGATGGTTTGAAAGAGGAGTAAAGGAAGCCATTTATGTCCACTGTGAGCAACCATCTTTGAACAGAGGCGGTGGTTTACGACACCAACTGTCTGCCATCTATAATCCAGTTTTGAGATCCCTTCCCAGATGCCTCAACGCCCACACATATCCTGGGCCATCTCACCTCAGGAATTCACATGATAGGGTGGGGCCAGGCTTCACAATGAGCTCACCCAAAACTCTGGCTGAATAGGACCCACACCCACCCTCACACCTTGGCTCATGTGTTTTTGTAGAAGATCATCAGGGGGTCTTTTGTTCCCTCTTCGGGGGGAAACTCCCACTGGGTTTGAATCTGGGACTCTCCACTATTTGGCCTTAGAACTGAAGAAGCCTCTCGGATGAGAGGTGAAACGTCTTCAAGCAACTCAAAGAAGTCCAGACGCTTTTCTTTCAAAGCTCCTTAAGCCTGGTTTATGCTTCTCCGTCAGCTCCGCAAGGGACAGACACGGACGGATTGACGGAAGTGTTTTGCTCTCGTACTTCTCCGTCTCCTGGAGAGTGTTGCAAAGCAATTCCTCGGCAGGACAGCAGAGGGCGTAGCGCTGTATCGGTCCAAGATCGTGTGTTTATATTGTGTTTTTTGTGTATATAAGAGACGTTTAACACGGACATATTTGTCTCTCATTCTCCCACCGCTTCATGCGCTCCCCACCTCTAAACCCACGTTTCCTGTCATTTCCGTCCACAAATAAAACGCTTGCTGTGCATCTTTTCACTCCTCCAGTCACAGGAGGATAAAACGTTCATATTTTTAGTTTTTTCGCGAGGTATTCTTCAAGTTTCTCCGTGTCTGCCGCTAGTTATCCTCGGCTCTCTTTGCAATGGCGGCGCTGTAAACAACAGCGGCGTCCTGACCAATCACAAGCTTGCGTAATCCGTCTCGTTCGACGGATGTTTAAAAAAGTGGGCTCGACTCCGTACGTACTTGCGTGCCTGCCGGAGCCCTACGCAAGGACGGATAATGGCGTTGCGTGTCTCCGCACTGACGCAGACGGAGAAGCATAAATCAGGCTTTAGACTACAATGACCTGGATGACTGAGAACCTTCACAGACATATTCAAATAACCCCACCCCCTGAGATCTCTACCCGAGCCAATCAGCGCTGAGAAGCGTACGTCACACACCATAACGCAAGTTTGTCATGAACATGGTGACTGAAGCGGCCATTTTTGACTGCAGCAAAAAAAAAAATACTACAGCGTTGCGTGGTACAGTTGGCATTTCTGTCTTTTTTTTCCTGATTGGTTGTTTTTGAGCTGGTTAGTAACCAGACTGTTTCTCTGTGCAGAATTAAACAGGGCGAGTCTGGCAGGCCAGGCTAGGAGGTAGCATTCCCAGGGATTTTTGACCCTAATGGCCATCCGTTGGTAATGTCTTACTCAAACAAAAAATACTGCTTGCTTGCAATGATTTAGGTACAGTATGTAGTGCCCCCTATTACCAGGAAAAATACACACGGTCACTTTAGGTATCCTGACTTTGCACAAAGCTTTGCATTACCCCGGTGGTGTCGGTGGGCTGAGCTCCACCAGATGTCGGTGTGGAGCTCTTTGCTCACTTAAACTGTTTTCTGATTATTTTGTTTAGTAATGTTTAAAATCGCGTTCTGTTATCTTCTGCAGATAAAAGCAACCTTGCTCTTAACCTTTAAAGTTAAAGCCCTATTAAACATCACACACACTTGAGAAAATACATCTCTGCATGTGACCCATCCCCATGGGGAACAGTTAGATGTTAGATTTTTAACCCCCCTATCCAACCCCTTTAAGCTGAGCATCAAGCAGGAAAGTACCCATTTTTAAAATCTTTGGTAAAATCCAACCAGCTTTGAACCCCAGTGTCCCAGACCCTGGGCATACCCTCTACCAGTAGACCACTGAGAAGGTAACAGACTTAATACTGTTTTTTGTCAATTGGTGACATAAATTGTGCTACATATGTGGGGAAAACAGAGAATATATTTTATGGATAAAGTGTGCTTTATGCAATATGTAGAACTACTTCCAACCTAACCGCACAAATATCTTGTCTTGGAAAAATGTTAAGACTAGCTAGCTGAAGCATTTGTGACTGAATTTCAGATTCTGGTAACATTAGTCTTACATAGCTAAGAGTTTCAGTAAGTTTTACCAGCCAGTGAGAAGATGTGGATGATGGAGCAGCTCAGAGGTTAGGATAAATACTTTTAGTTCAGAATCTTCTGATTTCTAGACAGTTTGGTAGCTCAGTCTGTTCGATGTTGGCTTAAGTTGCAGAAGCTTCTGAGTTCAGTTCCAGAAGAAAATAATCTATTAGAATTTATGGGAATTCTTCAGAATGTGAAAAGCTACAAAACACAGCATGATGCTCACTGCTTGTGTAGTTCAGAATGTAAAGCGTCAGGATTGTGTGCAGAATGCTCTGAGATCAATACCATGAAAAGACTCTCTTTTAGACTTTAGATGAATCGTTGACAACATTAAATGCTACAAAACACAAAGTGTTACTGATTGCGTAGCTCAGTGTGTTACATGCTGGCTTAGAGTGCTCAAAGCTCAGGGTTCAATCCCAAGAAACACACTTGAGTCTGTTGCATTTGTAAACGGTGTCTGATATTTTTTCAGCACAAAAGTAAAAAAATGACAAGTTTAAATGTTCCACCACAGCCAACATCAGTGTGAAGGGTGCTGGTGGTGCAATGGGACTGTTCGTGTTCGTAAGTCGCCAGTGGTGCAGCAACTGGTTCGATTCCTGCTCGTGACTGGTACCTGGATCGGTGCGACTATCCTGGAAGGGGTCAGGGAGGGGCCCTGATTCCCTCCCCGGGTTCCTGGAAGGTAAAAGTTGGGGGTTATACTGGTTGGGATGGTGCTGAGGAAAAGTTTTTTAGCTAAGTTTAATCAGCACTGGGCTAGATAGTAATGGTGACAAGACCTACTACTAGTTACTTTGTAGGACTTTCTAAGGTAGTAGGAAGAGCCATATAAGGTCCTACAAAGTAACTAACCCTTTTTACTACCATGGCCATTTAGATTACTAATTAGCCCTATTACTGTTACTATGGCCCAGTAGTTGTTGCTCTAATTAAATTTGGATACTTAGTTGCAAGACTTTTCCTCGGCACCATCCCTACCAGCATAACCTCCAATTTTTACCTTTCAGGATAGTTGCACCGATCCAGGTACCAGTCACGAGCAGGAATCAAACCAGTTGCTGCACCACTGGCGACTTACGAACGCAAACAGTCCCATTGCGCCACTAGCACCCTTCACACTCATGTTTGCTGTGGTGGAACATTTAAACTTGTCATTTTTAGGTTTTGAGCTGAAAAACATCAGACACCGTTTACAAATGCAACAGATTCAAATGTCTTTCTTGGGATTGAACCCTGAGCTTTGAGCACTCTAAGCCAGCATGTAACACACTGAGCTACACAATCAGTGAATAATAGTTTGTTTCTTGTAGCATTTAATGTTGTCAATGATTTACCTAAAATCTAACCTCCACACTGATTTTGTCACTAATTTGAACTTCAGATATTAAAATGGATACCAATAGTCTTTTAGCTCCAGCCCTGACTCTTAATGCTGGAGCTGTTTAATCCAAATCATACATTCCTTTCATATTAATTTCCTGACACCTTCAGGATGTTTTAATAGTAAAATAAACAGACAAGATTGCTCGCATTAAATAGTCGCTATACACTTAGTTTCCTATATTGCCAAGATTGATTTTGTATGATTGCTGGTGCACCGACAAACTTCTGTCTGACACAAAGACGTAAAATTTCATCATTTTATTCAAGAATCACAAAACCACCGTTTGTAAAATAAGACACAACTAGAAGACACACATTCACCGTGTCCCACTTAACTTCTCAGTTAGAAATAAATATTTGATAAAGATAAAATAAATACTTTCTACAGGAAATAAAGTGCAAAGTCTGAAGTTAAATAAGAACAATAAATAGATGCCAGTCGAGGGTCCTCCAGATGCATCATGGGAACAGAAATACCAGAAGAGTGATGTCCACGTCCCACAGCAACATCTCACTTCAACAATAAACACTGTTATAATACCAATGTGACTGGGTGTGAATGTGTGTGTGTGAATGGGTGAATGACTGATGTAGTTGCAAAGTGCCTTGGGGGGGTTCCAGGACTGTATCAAACACAGGCCATTTACCATTTAAGGTCGTGTACTTTCACTTAATCCTTGAAGCATTCAGAAGTAGAAACATTTAGCTTTGAAAGTCAAATGCAGCAGGTTTTCATAGTCAGCATCTATTTCTGTAGCCGCTGCTTGGCTCGTGCTCATATTTAGTATTTATGTAGATGATTGGAGCTGGAAGGTTTTAGATTTCAGAATTAGTTTGATCCCCGGTAGATTTCTGGCTTTAAAACCTCCAGATTGAGGATTAGGATTAAATCCTCCCACCTCTAGTCCTAACTAATATCTGCTGCTCTCTGGTGGAGGATCTGCTGAATAAAATGTATTTATTAATTCATTTCAAGCTTTAAACCATAAAATATACATTTTGTTCAACTTAAATATCACAAAATCTATTATTTTGCAGTTTTGCTTGGATTAAAGATATTCCCCTCTTGCTTAATTGTAAACCCATCATTTAGAAACTGTCTTTTTTTCCCCTTTGAGCAACGAGTGGGTATGTTTAGTAAAAGTTGTCAAAATTAAATGACCTTAAATGTAATTAAACATTTTTAATTCTGTCAGCAGTGGTTTGCCGATGAACTAAAGTTAACTGTCATGAGTTCATGCCAAGATTTTGGGTTTTGGGGTGTAAAATTAAACTAATTAAATCTATTATTATAATAAACATCTTACTGATAGACTTGTTTCTACGTTTTCAGTGAGGTTAACAAATGTTTTGCAGATGAGATGTGAAATAGGAAATGTCAGCTAATAGTAAATAAAATGCTCGATAAATTGGTTTAAAGTAAAGTGTTGCACAAGAAAGTTAAAATAGCATGTCTGCGGTTGCCATGGAAACCTCTCCCAGCTGCTGCTCTGATGCCATGATCAGAGTCGCTTCCTTCACTTTCAGAACTGGACGAGCTCTTCGCCTCCTTCCAAAATCAGACACCTAAAAAACACACACACACACACACACACACACACACACACACACACACACACACACACACACACACACACACACACACACACACACACACACACACACACACACATCTACTAAATACAATGCATTCCTTTCAGCTGCACAACTCTTAAATATGAGGTGACAGTGACACACTACGAGTATTTACACTCTGAATGAGGTGTTTGCATTAATGGGAAGGTTAGCTGATTATTGCTTATTACGGTGTTGACCCCTGAGGAAGAAGACAGCACAACTCATGGAAATATGCAAAAAATGTGTTTTTCTGACCTCAAGTGGTAAATTTACAGCTCTATTATGAAATTTGTCTACAATATTTGATGGAAATTTAAGTCCAAATGCATAACTGCTGGTTAATTATAATTTAAGTAAATCGTTATGTTGGTCCTGTAACGGAATGAAATGATTGTTTCCCCCCTCTCCTCTGCACAGAACTAGTCTGCATGAGATATGGCCTCAAGGTCTCATGCATTTGCTTCTAACCTGCTTCTTTTCAGCTCATCAGAAGAATGAAGAATGGACTCTCTCCTTTTAATTAATCAAAGAACTCTATTTTAATAAGCTAATCACGCAAAGTGTTAGTCAATAAATGAGATGTGACCAATCAGTGAAATGAAAATATTAATTACTTTATTGTAATCCTATAGAATATAAAAGTAATATGACTTTAAATATTCCACTAGGACTGATCTCACGTAGCGTTAAGACATGACACATTGTTTTACTGATCCAATCAGAATCTGCCAGATCTGACGGAGGCGTGGTTTTGGTGGTGCTTGGTAAATCTGTCAACTTTTCATTCGACCGTACACCAAAACATCCGAAGTATAAAACTATGCCCACCTCATCTTTAACACCAGTTCAAAGCGTTCTAGAGAAGTTGTCAGAGTGGCCAATCCGTAACTTTCCTCTTCAGCCAAAAGAACCAACGACAAGCTGGATAAAATCTGTTGCTGTTGTCATGACCCGGGAGTATCTCAAGAATGGTGGTCGGCTGCCGTGGCTGCTTCTACAGGCTCCTGCTCCATAAAGGTCAAGCTGGACCTCTACACCTCATGATCTAGATGGGGACTTCCGCTCAGGGTATGGCGTCAAATGTGTTTATGAATCTCCTAACCAAAGCTTAGCGAGAAGACATCACCTTCAGTTCCCATCAGAACTAATCGCTTCTTCGGATTTGCCGGTTCTGAGCAACGTTACACCTCACACCGTTCACCGTCTCATTCACCTTAGTTACACCATACATTTAGTGTTTAAAGTCAGTCTAGTTTAATTTGTTTTTAATGAGTCTTTAAACTTTTAAACTCGACTCTCTCTCTTCTGTTGTCTCTGAGTGAATATGAAGCTGTTATCTAATCCCCGCATTAAAAAGTTCCAATCTTCTGGTTTAAAATAACCTCACAGATCCATAAGTTTGATTTCATATTTCCTATGGAATCCTACGCCTTATAGCTTATTAAATAACATGTAATTTAAATCATTACAGTTCATATTAACTTTAGATTGTCTGCTCACCATGATGGGTGAAAACTGAACTTCCATTATGCTCCACTGTGCCCAAATTGGATTTTTCAGCCTGAACACAAAAACCAGAGGCATCAAAGGAATTTCTCAGGCAACAATATAATTATATATAAAAAATGATAGACACTGCCTATTTTTACCATTGAACACAGCGGGTACCAGTATAAGCTTTCTAGAGCCTTGTCCTCCGACCTCCAGCCATCAAGTGGGATGAGAATCTCTCCAAGAAACACTTTTCTTTTCAGGGTCCCTGAATGCCACACAGAGACCTGCAGTCTCTTTCCAAACAGCAGGTGGCGCTCTATGTTGAACTGTCAAAAATAAATAGGGATTTCATTGACGCTGAAGTACCAACAGTAGCTGATAAACACCAGATATTTTAGTACCTTTAACACTTCGTTATAAACTGGATCCGTCATGTTTCTCTTCAGAGATGTCTTCAGTTTGATGTTCTTGTCCGGCAGCACGTGGAGTTTAACGTAACTGCAGGTTAAACGCAATTATTGTGAAGGCGGCAGCTCAGATAGACAGAATGTGCAAGGCTCTTTGCTTGTTTAAAGGTCTCCTTACGGGTTACACTTTTTCTTTTTGCCGTTTCCATGAGCAAGATTTCTGCAGGCTCCAACCGTGACCTCCAGGCAGGAGCTACTGGTGTTGTAGGCCACAGCGAGCTCCAGCTCTCCGGCCACGCAGATGCTGCAGATGCTGCAGTCGGTGCTAATGCTGCTGACGCTGCCCTAAAAAGCAAAAAAAAAAAAAATTATTTATTTTTTATGCTGAACTACTTTATTTTGTGAAATTACAACTAAAGTTCAGCTTGGCCATGAGGCTGAAATGATTGCAATCTGAAATCTGACGTTCATATACAGGATGCCAAATAGGGTCATTTTATCTCTAATCATCAGCTTTCGCTCACTCTTTTTACAGTCGAGTGCTCGGAGCTGAACGACGTTTCCTCTCCGGTAGACGAGCCCTCCTGGTCGCTGTCTTTGTTTTTCTTAAACAGGTTTGGAAGACTGTTGCCTTTAGAAAGCTGCAAAGCAAACATGGCCGATTTCGTTCACTGGTTTCAAACAGAAAAAGTGATTAAAAAAACGAATCTGGACTTCTCAGATTCAGCTGCAGTTGCCTACTTACTGAGGACTTGCTGAGGTCTGTATCAGACCGGCTCTTTTGGGTGCTGTAGCTAAAATGTGATCTTGATTGGTGTCCGATGACCGTCAGCAGGTCTCCTCTGATGTCATTTTGAGAATCTGATATCTCTGCAATGAACAAAAGTAAGAAAAATGTAATCTCTAACACCAAAACCCATTTAAAATGCCTGATCTAAAATTGATTCTTTGCTAGAAAAACAATCAGGCAACTCAAAAGGATGTGCGACACACAAGCATATCTTTACAATCGGTTGTTGCTGCTGATGCAGTCAGCATGTCAACATCGATGTTTTCTTCTCATTACAAGAGCACTTCCTCTGTGGTTGCTGCAGCGTGTAAATTCATCTCAAAGAGTGTGAGATAGCGTTCCTAGGAAGTCATGTTTCCAATCCTGAACTGGTCGTTTAAAAAAACCCACAGACTTACTTTTAATGTGACTCCTCATGCAAACCTTCAGATCCTCCATGGACAGGGTGAAAGACTTTGAGTTCTTCAGCTAAAACAATAACAAATGCTTGCTTTTCACATGTTTTTTTTTTATTGTGAGTGATGAAAATGGAATGGATCGGTGGTTTACCCTAGATTTCTCTTTGAACTGAGGATCCAAGTGGGGAGGAGGAGTTGGTGGTACAACAGAAATATGTCTGGAGAAGGAAAAGAAAACAAAAGATCTAATAAGTGTTGATCAAATGGTTTAAAGGTGAATAACCAGGTAAGGTTTAACCACACCTCTGCACACTGTAGATTTTCAATAGTTTCTCTCCAGTTGTTTCAGATTTGTCTGTAAAAATATGATTATTCATCATTAGGATAATTATTTGAGGCTCTTATTATGCTGTAATGAATAAATCTGCAATATTTAATCCAACTGAAACAAAAAACGGTAAACCATCATAAGCTGTCATCAATGTTGTTTCGCTGTTGTTGAAACGATGATAAATAAGTAAACAAACCTATAGTGACAGGAAATTTCTTTGCCTTTTCCTCCAAAAACCAGTCTCCTGATCTGATCTTCACCTCCCTGTGAAGAGGAGACGCACTTAGTGATCAGAGTTATGACACAAGTGATGAAGATAAAAGTGTAATACATAAAAATATGCAAATTAATCATTTCACACCATGTAATATTGCACTCTATTGGCCTATACTGTATTGTTTACATGATGCTGTATAGTTTGGTATCTGTTGTATCACATTGTGTTTTATAACGTCACACATTGTGATTGGTTGACTTTGTATGGTATCACATTGTATCATATATGTTTTCATCATTTCATTGTTTAATTAAACAGTCATGTCACATTGTTACATTATGTATCACTTGTTTTTGCATCATACCGTAGTATTGTTTCAGACACATCAAATGTTACATTGTAGCATATTGAACAGTCTATATATATATATATATATATATATATATATATATATATATATATATATATATATATATATATATAATATTGTGTCAAACTGATTTCCCGATTCCCCAACATCCATATGTATCTCATATTTTAAGCCTAGTCTACATATGCTTTAAACTCTTTTTTACAGTGTAATTTTGTATTTGGGTAGTAACCAATGAGATTGTAGGGTGTCTGGGCTCTCCCGTACAGATAAGTGAGAAGCTTGGCCATCTGGGAGGGGCCCGGAGGAGCCAGTTGAGGTGGCTCGGCCATCTAGTTAGGATGCCTACTAGACGCCTCCCTGGTGAGGTTTTCCGGGCACGTCCAGCCGGGAGGAGACCTAAAGGAAGACCCAGGACACGCTGGAGGGACTATGCTAGGATCATCCCGGAGGAGCTGGCCCAAGTGGCTGGGGAGAGGGAAGTCTGGGCCTCATGTCTTAGGCTGCTGCCCCCGTGACTCGATCCCAGATAAGCAGTAGGAAATGGATGGATAGATGGAATTTTGTATTTTTCCACCATTCCAGTGGACTGATTGCATCAAGTGAAGATTTACACAATCAATAAGGTTTTGTAGCTTTGATCCAAATCAGTTTCAGTGTCAGTTACTTTGGTTTCTGTCGACTTGTGATGAATTAAACCAGTTAGGACCAGAAATGTGTCAGAGTATAATACCATTTATAAAGAAAAAAGGTGATTTTTCAGACAGAAAATAAGATTTTTTTCTGATTTATCATCTTTTCTTGTTTCTGTACTTCAGGAAGTTATAATGTGTATGCCCATATTTGGGCTCGTCCTAAAACTAGTTACATTTAGTTCTCATTTCTCTGCATTATAACCAAATGACTTGAATTAAAATGACTAGACGGTGTATGAATGGTAAGCATTCACACTATAAGTAACAGATCTCTGATTGGTGAGTCAAAGCAAAAGTGCTCTTGTCTTCTACTGACTCACACCTTTCACCAGCCTGATTGCGTTACCTGTATGCATGGCACACCGTGCACTTCCAGTTTGCTGCTCCCACCCGACACCTGCTGCAGATGCGGTGGCTGCAGCCTCTGCACACTGCTCCTGTGTTCCAGAGCTTGCCCAGGGGCCTCTGGCAGCGGGCGCAGGTCCGCTCCCCGTATTGCCGGGCGTAACTCTTTGCACCTTTCCTCCGTAGCTCCTGCAGCTCGCCCTTCATCCTCCTGCAGATGGAGAGAGACAGAAGAGGAGAGGCCGTTAATTGGCAGCATGACGAGTCATTTCGCAACTTCTCTTCAGCTTAAAAGAAGGAACTTGGTTTTGGAGACAAACCTCAGAATTTCACTTCTAAAAAGGCTATTTTCTTATTAACCACAGCAAAGATCTTTTTGAAATCAATATTGCAACAGAAAATCACTCATTTTGATGCTTTCATGTCACATATGCTGGTTTAGGCATAAATCGAGGCAAAGCAGTGAACTTTTATACCTCTAAGACTCACGACTGAACCAAACATCCTGTTTGAAACACGTTTTATTCAGAGTGAAACCTTTTCAAACGCTAGTTTCTTGAGCTGATATAGTTCTGGCTCATTCCAGCATCACTAAGAAGTTTTACCACTAAATGTCAGAAAGGACTCACCTGATCCTGTCCTCTTCTATCGTTCTCAGGTGTTTGTCTCTCCAGAGAACCTCCAGAACTCTTTCTTTCTCCAGAATTTGAAGGAAACTTAAATCCATCTTTAGTTTCTGACCTGTAGCTCCTCTGCACTGGGTCTGATCTGCTGTCTTCTCCTGTCTTCTTTTTGTTACGTCTCCTCCTCCTCCTCCTCCCATGTTGTTTTCAACCCTCCCTCTTTGTAGACCCGCCCTCCAGACCTCCTCTTGTCTTCTAGAGCTGAATGATTTGATGAAAGCAGACTGGATCAATCACTCAGCGTGCTTTTTACATGCCCTTCACCCTTTGGTCGAGCCTCCATTCCCGTCAGACCCAGATATGATCCATTTTTGTAAAATATTACATCATAAGTGGAAAAACCTCTCCTCTGACATTCTCATATCTGAAGTCCACTTCCTGTGCCTGTCAGCTTTTCAGTAACTCAGACCCTCAGCAGCCCACGGCGACACTCTTCTTCCTCTGATGCTGCTAACATCCTCCTGTTGCATTCAGCTTCCTTCTGCCAGAACTCCACCTGTTCCCCGGTCAACAACCAGCTGCAGGAAGTGCAGCAATGCTTCACTGATGGCTCCAAAACAAACCAAATGCCAACAGCTGCATTATTGATGCCTGACGTCTGTCTGTGGCCTAGTTTCTTTTATCGTCGTCTTCTGCAGACGACGTGATAGATGTGAACAGTGTTCACCTTCAGTTACTGAAGACCTGAGAAGGTTTTAACCAAGAGGCTGATGTCACCTATAATGAAAGCAGGAAGTCAGCCTTGTATGGGATTACCCTCAACTCTCTGACTAAACACACATTTCCCTTCTGTCGTGCAACATCCTCAGAGGTAATGATGTAAGCTTAAAAGTCCCTGGATAAACTCATCGTGTTTCTATTGTTCCATTTAGGTTTGTCTCCATTTTCTTAATTCTGTCTTTTTGATGTTTCCCAGGCATCACTTAGCAATTTCCCCCCAAAAACTTGGGTATCAGATTAACTCAGATTAGTGGTTTTGTACTAATCCTTAATCCAGGGATATTCCATTGATAAAAGTCACATTATAGTGGAAAACGCGACGCCTAAGGCAGCAGCGGACCTTTAAATGAGACAATTAGTAGAAACTTACAGCTAATGCGGTTTTAAAATGGGGCCTAAATCCATTTAGAATCAGAAGTGATACAAAGATCTGATCATTTCAGGTTTTCAAGTAGAAATGTATTTATTATCTGGTCTCGCTTTTGTCATAACAAACCAATCCTGACATTCCCACCCTTCTTTCTCACCTGTCATTTTCAGGCCAGCAGCCTGACATCTAAGGGAGCTTTTGGATAGCTTGGTGTCATCCTGGGTTAGCAGATGAGAGCCTGTGCTTGTTACTAACCAGAGCTGCCAGGAAGCCTGCAGAGAGCAATCAGTCAGCTGCAATTAGGACTTGTGGGTCTGCAGGAGGACACAACTGTTGGACATTCTCCTGATTGTAAAATATCAGCCAGGAAAGATGAAAATGCCTTTTGCATGAATCAAAAAGGATCTGCATCAGCAAACGTCATTCTTATCTAGAAACACACTTGTGGCAGAGGCCTTTAATGGTTCATTCTGCTGGTGGTTTAGTGGTGACAGGGTCCACATCCGAGAAGAGGTGGGTCAGCCCAGCACATCAGTGACAGTAACAGACACCTGACTGGTTACCAAAGAATCTAAACTTAGCCACAGAGAGCGGTGAGAAAGGCCAAACCGAGTCCTCCAAGAGCTTCCTGGAAGACGTGAGTGTGTTCCTACATGCACTTAGAACTCGACTGACCCCCATGAGGAAAATTCACATGAAAACCCACTGCCTCTCCTTTTTTCATGCAGGAGGAGGCCTGGAGGAGGAGATGAAACACCTTTCTTTATGGAAACAACATGATGGCAAATTACAGCAGCTTGTATGCAAGAAATTCATTCACCAGCGCGGGAAAACACACAACATCTTTCTGAGATTGAATAAAAGAAGAATGGATGTAGATTTGAACTGCACTTATGTTTGTGATCATATCAAAAAGTATAGAGATGCAAAGCTGGTTTCACTAGAATCAGGCCACTGCATAGTTTAGATGTGCAGATCAGCAAAATGCACAATGTTACCTCAAGAGAGTGATCACCCTGAGGAAGTGGCAGACTGTACAGACTAAAGAAAACGTGCAGACTTCTGCTTCCTTCCGTCACACATTCACACGCGCATGCATCGTCGCAATCTGCTGTTTGGTTTTGTTCAACCTTTGAGTCTCGTTAGAAAGCTTCCCTTTGAGAAAGTGTGGAGAAAATGCAGAAATAATTTGTTTAAACATAGAAGAGAAACACCTCCAGGTCCGTCTGTGTTCGTACACACCTGCAGTTCTGACAGTGGGATGAAAAATGAACACGTTGTTTTGAAAAAGACATTTGAAAAGAACCTAATTTATCGTGATTCTTCCGGCTCTTGGAGAGTACAGATGCTTTTTTCCTCCTCTCCTCCGTATCTTATCCCATGGCTCGTTGTCTGTCTTTGGGTGCACGGCGCTTCTGTATTTTTTTCTGAAAACTGGAAATGATTAAAAATGGATCTGGTCAGTTGGTCTCAACGCGATTGACAACATTTTTTCAACGATGAGAACGGGAGAAGGGGCTCCCGGTTGCCCCTCTGGGACAGAGCCAGCTGGGTATATCATGGACTCCTGGAAATGGTCGAACCTGAGTTGCCTCTCTCAACTGTCTGTAGAGGATTCTGAAGACGTCTGGATATTTGTGGTGTTGGTGTCAGGTTTCCTGCTGTTTGGCCTTAGCGGTTACTTGGTTTACCGGAAAATTAATGAGCCGCCGTGGAATATTGGCTCAATCCCGGAGCTCAGGGATGGATTACGTCGCGCTGTGAATGCACAAATTCATATAATCGTCGAGATGAGTCATAAGCTCGAAACTTTGGCTGAGATTCAGGCTGTGTCTCAATTCAGGGTCTGCATCCTTCATCGGCCGGATTCGTCGGCCGGTTACGTCACAGCGCCGCGACTAGGCCTGTCCCAATTCGAAGACTCCTTCAAATGCGGCCTTCTTTTCGCCTGTATGAAGGATGGGTCCGGTGTATCCTTCAATGGTTTACATTTCCCAAGATGACTTGCAGGCCAGACGGCAGAACTTTTAAAAACAATGGCGGACAGTGAAGCGGGAGCTGTCGGAGAGGATTGCGCATATAAATGTCAGTACAAACTTGAAAACTGTTTGGTTAAGGGCTTTTTGTGATACATGAACGTTATTTTAGTTTGAAATGTTACAGTAAAAGTGCTTGTATTGCGGTCTCGGCTCGTATGTTCGGCCGCTCGGTGTCGTACTTCCCCCGCTACGTTTTCCCCCGATTTTAATAGAAGTTTGTATTTTAGGGACAAAAGAGAAAACCACGGACTTTATTAAGCTTAGGGCGGGGATGGACCACATGTTCACTGGAGCAAAGTATTCGGCGGCTGTGGCATGGAGGCACAATAACATCTCATATTTTAAGTTTAGTTTTTTCTGCGAAAACACAAAAGGAATAACCAGCTTCTGGAGCTGATCAGGGAGGACATGAGGCTGCAGAGGGAGGCAGAGCAGCAGAGGGCACAGGAGAGAAGGGAGAATTTTGACAGGCTTTTTACTTTGCTAGAAAAAATGGTATTTGGTTTTCGACAATTGTCCCGCCCAGTAGCGGATAAAAGCTGTTACTACAGCGTCTACATAAAGCTAATCAGACATAACTGATTAGCACTTCCTGTTAATTTCTTCAAAATAAAACATCACTTTTAAATTTCTTCCATTTTGAAATTTTTTTTACCAAAGACTACTACTAAAATGACTGCAAGTGACTTTTAAAAAAATTATTAGAATTAAGCATTTTAAGGATGTCCTCAGTTGTTTTTATTCTTAATGAATAAAATATACAACACTCACTTAAGGTTCCTCATTGTAGAGGAAATGTCTAATCCCCCCAGGTCATATCACTTTATTTCTATTTTTAATTTATCCGATGTTTTAGCATAAATTAAAACTGAATATCAGAAACATTGTAAACAAGCCAAAAAAGATCCCAAGTTATAGATGCCTTTGTGTAATTTGCTACCTAGTGGCTCAAACTTGTAACTGCAACTAAATGAATCCCCTCCATGGCTCCAAAGCCCGACAGAGCCGGTCTTCTTTCTCCTTTTAGATGCAACACTTAATGACATAAGTGCAGAATATTGTCCCCAATATATCAGAATGAATGATTTCTAGATGAAATTTAAAAGAGAAACAAAACCACCTGTGTTTTTATTTTCACACTGAACATAAAGGTAACATCATACTGTACACACATACACAAACTAAAAACTGCATATTCACTTTAAAAATGAAAAAAGCTACAAAATACGTGGAAAAACATAAAAAACATTTGGCAGGAATTAAACTTGGATTGTTTTTTCTTCAGCTGAAGGAAACGTTTTTACTTCTTTGGTGTCCTTGATGTGTCCAATCCAATAAAATCAGTCTGTAGTAAAAAATTTTCTGTTTAATCAATAAATACTTTCCCTTTTCTTTTATTTCCCACTTGTTTCTGAGAAAATTATTAGAGATCCTTCAAAAAATTAGATGAGTCAGTTTTAAAAACCTGTTCACAGATTTTGCACAATATAAATAATGTTTTTGCAATTCTGACCAAATAAATCTAAAACCAATGGATGGATGTTTAGTTTGAACTGGAAACAGAAGCTTTTTCTCAGTGACAAACTGTCTTAAAGCTTTCTGATGATGAAAAATCGATTTTAAACAAGGAATTTGTCCGTGCTTTCAGAAATGGTCCTAGGTGTGCAGAAATGTCTTTAGCTGAAGCGTCTCTTCCACCGATAACCTGTCGTGGTAGAAGCTGAGCCCAGTTAGGAGCTCGATGTCCCGGACTCGAGCCGTGTGGAAACTCATCCACTTCTCCACAAACGAGTAATCTGACCCCTCCTGAGGAGAAGCAGGAACAGGGACAAGATAAGCTGGGAGAGAACGTCTGCTGGAGGTTTTAGCTGAGGTGGTACTCACCGTGCAGACCTCTGAGTAGTCCGGTCTGTGAGGCAGGATGTAGGCCGACACCTGGAGTGGACCTTTACACTCCACAGGACTAAAGGTGGAGTTGCGGCAGGAGGTCAGGATCAGAAAGAAATGTGTCGGGACATCCGCTTCATTCCTGAAAGGAACCAGGTTTACAGCAGAAATGAGATTAGCCTAAATATGAATATTTACGCATGATTTATTTTATTTTGAGCAAAAGTTTGAAGCCAACTTTGATTTCTTTCTTCTTTTAAAAGATGCTACATGATCTAGTCATCTTTCAAAGAGGTTGTGATGAGACTCTCCAGCGATTTCTTGTTTTTTTTTTTTGGATTTCAGCTGATCATTTTCTTCCTTGTATCTGATTATTGCTCAAACACAGACTCCTTACTCATTAGACGACATCAAAACTCCCAAACTCGACCTGCAGCTCTTTAACCTCAGATAAAAACAAATACTTTCATATTGCAGCAAGTCCCCCTAGAGCCAGATGGTAGGAAGCGGACGATGTTTGTATGAAAAAAGATAAAAAAAGAAGCAAAATGCTTGTTTTGTTGTTTTTGAAAAGCGAACCCATTAGATCACCATGGTAACTGCCTGATGAGGACATGTCTGCATTTTCTTTGCTTGTCTTGAGATTAGGGCCGATTCAAGAAATTCAATAAATTTCTCACCTTGGAAATAAAATAAAAGACCTGTTTTGCTAGAATTAATTAGAAATTTGCAACGAGTTCACAGATGGGGAAAGGTATTATTTTTAAATTTTCTTTTAGGTAGTGATGTGCTCAAATTTTGGAGGAAAATAATCTGATTTTTTGAGTTTCAGCTCAACTGATTCTGATCAGCAGCAGATTTCACATCTCTTCAAAACTAGTGTCAGTATCAATAAATATTGATACAATAAAAATGCACAAACAAAATATTTACTGCTCTCCAGTGACAAAAAAAAAACAGCAGCAAAGATTATTTCATACTTACCCTAAAATTTTGTTAAATTTATCAGCGTGCCCGTCAAAATTTTTATCAAAAATCGGCCCACTGATGATATTAATCCCATTTAGGATTTGTGAATATTTCACGAGCAAAGAATTATGGAAATAGGTCCAAACATCTGAGAAAACACAAAAAGTTTCCATTAGTCCAGAAAAAACAACAATCCCTCTCTACTTTTTCTTCAGACCCCTGCACCTACAGTAATCAGCCACCAGGGGGCAGCATTCATCCACTCAATGACTATTATTCAGTCTTAAAAAATAAAAAGGACTAAAGTTTTGTTTTATATCAGTCGTATTTCAGGATTGTAGTCATGATTTTATTTTTTGCAGTTTTATAAATTCAATGTTGTTGCATAATTAAACTGTAAAGGCCATTCTTTCTGGATCACTGTCATATTATTGTTAAAATGTTTTTAATTAAAAAGACAACAAAGCATTAACTATTATACTGAACATTTCAGTCTGTAACTAAAGCTAAAACATTTAATTATGATTTCTGCAGAAGGACGATGAGGTGACTGAAAACCTTTAATTGTGTTTTACAGGAGGAGTTAAATTAAAGAAGCATCTTAATTACACTCTGCTCTTAAAAAATCAGCTTCATAAGCATCCAGGGCTTAAAGTAACAGAAAGACTGAAATGCCAGGGGTCTGAAAATGCAGGAAATTCCAAAAATTACAAAACTGATTTCCTTATTTAGAAATTAAATAAAAAAAAAGTCCTAACTGCAAGCCGGGAGTTGAACCTGCGTCAGTCATGATCTAAAGTCTCCCTGCAGGCTTCAGCTGAACTACCTGGAATCTTTAAAACTCGATCATCTCATGTTAACACATGCGAGTTTGCCAGGGATAATAAAAAAGACAAATAGCTGACTCACTTTTAAAGGCTGGGAACATCGGCACCATGTTGCTGTTGATGAGGGAGTCCGTCTCTGGAGCGCTGCTGTTCAGATCTGTAGAGAAATCAGGATTTAACACCAGCCTGAAATAATCCCTCCATTTAGTAAAAGTACAAATAAAGAGTTAGTTTTGAAGGTGGTAAAATAAATCTTTTAGGGGTTTCATTACTTATTTTTCATTTATTGCATAATGTTGTGATTTTACAAAAAAGCTTAGAAAAACAATCTATGTATTTCATAAGGCTCACTTTTATGCATTTAAAAAAAATCATACATTATCCCTGAAAGTGGAAAATGTCAGTTTGCTCCTTTAAACCAGCAAAAGCCGTAGTTACAAATCTCTGAGGCTCTTACTTTGAAGGTTAAAAGCTGAAACATTAACAGCTGCTTTGAAAGGTTCAATGTATTTTTTAGGAGGATTTTCCAAGTGTGTTTTAGTGCAAAGATTATCTGACTTATAAGGTCCTTCTGTTTAGAGACCAGGAGCAAAGACTGTTATGTTTGGTCAGATCAAACCAAGAGGGAACCCCAGGCTCCCAGAAATTGCAGTTCCTCCCTCAACCACTAGGGGCTGGCACCAGAAAGGAGCAAGTTACCATCGACTCCCATGTTAAAAATGCCAACTTCACAGCAGAAATAAACAAACCTCCGTTAGCTTCGGTTAGCTTGTAGCTGGGAACACAGGTGGAGTCAGAACCTCATAGTTCCGCTCTCAGCTCCACATTTATTCTGATTTTTGGACTCTCTGGCCGTGACAAGATGTGTAACATGGCCAGTGGCGCCCCCAGAAAAGTTTCATAAAGGTGGCCATGGGGCCAGAGAAAAATTTGGGGTGGCACACTAAATTGATCCTTGTGTATATCTGGAAATGTTTAGCCTGTATTGATGCAATAAATGCTCCTTTAATTAATTTTCATTATAAAAACACAAACAAAAAACATTATGCATCCAACACACATCAAATTTAAGAAACACAAACATTTTAGAAAAAAAATCAAGTGGGGTGGCCAACACCCCTGGCCCCCCCTTGGGGGCACCACTGGACACGGCCAAGATGATCAGAACCAACTGGCTTCTGGGGTTTGTATAGTATTTTTTTTTACAGTCAGTGGTTCAAACCCAGGAAAAAGGATGATTAAAGGTTCATGACTTAACTATTTCTTTAGCTGAAGCTACCTGGAGCCAAAACTCAATCTCCCCAAACTTAAACAGGATTTCATCACACTCTCTGTAATGCACACATATAGTTACACACACTCACAGGGAGGGTGCAGAAGGCCAAAGGTCAGTCTGGGGTGGTTTTTGAAGCGAGAACACAGCTGACCGGCTGAGGGCGGGACACGAACGTCAGCACGAACACACTCCTCTGGACTCGGCGCTCTGACATGGACCTGAGAGAGCAGATTAGTCAGTGTTGGACTCATGACTTGGCTTTGTGCACTCGTTCGGTTTACAGAACTTCTCATTTTCTCCTCACTCGCAACAGAAAAGTCGCTTATTTTTGTTCACAATGAGCCGTAAATTCAGAGAACTTTGCGTGAAATAGGAACAAAAATGTGGCTGTGGTCTAGTAAACAAAAACAGACCCCCTAAAAAATTCCTCCGAACGTTCATACCATGGTTTCTAAAACATTTATGCATTTTCTTTCAGACAGTGAGAACAACTTGAGCATCACACACACACACACACACACACACACACACACACACACACACACACACACACACACACACACACACACACACACACACACACACACACACACACACACACACACACACACACACACACACTCAAGAAGCAGTAAAAATATACTTGCACTTTTTAAAGCGTGAATCATGAAATCAGAGTGAAAATTATCCAACATAATAATCACAAAATTAAAGATGCGATTTGTGATGTAATAACTTTGGAATTTCATAATGATAAAACAATAACTCGCCAACTGTGATACTTTGATTTTCCACCAGAAGGCAGAAAACACATATTTGAGTGGATAAGCAGGTGTTTCAGGAATGTACTAATCTTGTTAAAGAGATGGAGGCCCTAACCCCAAAACAGATGTATTAAATATAACATAATACAGTGGTAATGACAAAAACACGTGATGTACTAAATAGTTAATATTTTACTATTGTTTATTACATTCATGTTTCTTTGTAAGAAAAAAGAAAATATGCTTTACATTTCAGATAATTGGTTTAAATTGTGAGTGAATGCAGTGATTCTGTTAAAAAACTGAAATAAAGAAAACATTTAAATGAATAAAATGACGGATTTAGGTTTTATCCTATGAGAAATACTGTTGATCACCCTTGATCAAACAGGATCAATAAAACAGCTCAAAACTAAATGTAAATAAATGCATAAAATTAACCAAAACAAGAGAAACCCTTCCATTTAAGTGGAAATCCTTTCACAATTATAGATAAATAAACTTATCAACAACTACGTTTTAGTGAAATAACTTGTAAACCCAAAGAAAATTGATTCATATCCCTCTCTGCTGTGCTGCAGCTCTTCCTCAGGCAGGCATGTAAATAAAGGTTAATATCCACACTTTGATTTAACCCTCTCAGGCTCAAAATAAGTTCTGATAAAAGGACGAACAACTAAGTCCTTCAGGGGAACTTCTGCGTTAAAAAATGCTCATGAAATACCGTAAATCCTCTAATACAGGCCCGGGCCTGTATTTGACTCAAGCTCATCAAGCTCCGGGCCTTTATTGGAAGGAGGGCCAGAATTAGAGGCAGGCCTCAATTTCTATTTGAGCAAAATGAACTAATGGTTCGCTGGAGTTTTTGACAATTAAAACTGCGCCCACATTTTCAAAGTTAAACACATTCCTTTTAACAACGGTAGTTTCTGCTTCTGCCCTCTCCCCCCTCCCCCTGCGCAGCGGCCGCAAACTCACTGATGCGCCTGCAGCCTCTCGGAGTTCCTGCTGCTCTAAACATTAAAATAATTATTCCATTTTCTGTTCCTCACTTCTGATAACCTTCAATGGTGACTGTTTGTTGCAACCACCAGGTACAAAAACTAACTTGTTTTTATTTGACTATTTTTCTGTCCTGCCTGTTTATTATCTTCCTGCATCTCCTCTCAATCCTAAAGAGAAACTGCTACCTGGGTTCATATATATTCACCTTATGAGTTACCTTTGAACTGCAGTTCTAAAAGATCTACCGACCGCAAAAACAGCGGAGTGCTCGCCGGCCGCATCAGTTAGGTGCGTCACTGGAGGACAAAACAGCTGATGCGCCCCGCTCCACAGCAGCGAAACGCATCAGGCGCAAATAAAAGACAGAAAACATTAAAGGAAATGAGCCGACATGAACAATCGCGTGTTAAATTAGTTTTTGAGGTGGCGACACCTGATTTGATAATGTTACTGTGGCCGTGCTCAGGACGCAGATCTACCGACCGCAAAAACAGCGGAGTGCTCCCTGCTTGGCGGCCGCATCAGTGATCGGTGCGTCACCGGATGACAAGGTGATGCACCCCGCTTCACAGCGAAACGCATCAGGCGCAAATAAAAGACAGAAAACATTAAAATAATGATTTCATTTTCTGTTCCTCACTTCTGATTACCTTCAATGGTGTCTGTTTGTTGCAACCACCAGGTACAAAAACTAACTTGTTTTTATTTGACTAGTTTTCTGTCCTGCCTGTTTATTATCTTCCTGCATCTCCTCTCAATCCTAAAGAAAAACTGCTACCTGGGTTCATATATATTCACCTTATGAGTTACCTTTGAACTGCAGTTCTAAAAGATCTACCAACCACAAAAACAGTGGAGTGCGTGCTGCTCGCCGGCCGCATCAGTGAGGTGCGTCACCGAGGACAAAACAGGTGATGCGCCCCGCTCCACAGCAGCGAAACGCATCAGGCACAAATAAAAGAATAAAAGACAGAAAACATCAAAGGAAATGAGCCGAGATGAACGATCGCGTGTTGAATTAGTTTTTGAGGTGGCGACACCTGATTTGATAATGTTACTGTGGCCGTGCTCAGGACGCAGATGTCTGGAGCACGTCAACAATCAGAGCTTTGCATGCGCACGCTGGTGAAGGTTAGGATGGGGGTTAGGGGAAGGTTAAATTGCAAGAGGGTAAACGTCACAATTTGGTTAAATGTCCGTTTTACGGCGGGTGTCAGTACTGACGCTCTGGCACAGCGCGTTGCCTCCCGATGCGCAGGAGCTTGTCACCTGCTGACAGCAGGCTGCTGTCTTTTCCGAGGACTGCATCTTGCTGGTCATTATCACGTGACAGCGACTAGTCGATGACAGGCATAACAAGTCACTATAGAACGGTGAAGTCGACTAGTGACTAGTTCATACAACCCCTACTGCTCCCCAGAGTGTTCTGCAGCATAATCAGCACGTTCTCTTTGAACTTGATATCAAATTTTTGCCTCCTCTTCGTCTCCGCACGGTTAAAGTTACCCTCGCGGTCTATCACTGGCCAATCAAAAGTGAGACGGATGACACCCCCCCCCCCCCCCCCCCCCCCCGTACTTGCTTGTTACCACATTCCACCCAGCCACAATAAAAAAACGGCCATTATTCACCTCCGCCGACTCCGACACCGGCCAGAATATGATACTCGGCGGTTAATTAAATACAGGCTAATATTAGAGGATTTACGGTACGTATGTGGAGTAACCAGGTAGGTAGGTTTTAACATTGCAAATCTGCAACGCCTGCCTCCAGAGGGTTAAAATATCAGTTTTCAGATTTGAAAATTTAGATGTGAACTCAGATTATTATGAACAGAAAACAATGGAACATCACAAGTCTGTATCAGGGTACTACACTGCACTTGCTCCATCACTACAGTATAATGTAAGAGTGTAGACTCTCTCGGGAGAGCGTTACTCCGCCTGAGGTTGTGATTTACAAGAAATCTGAACCACACAGTTAGAACGACAAGTCTGCTTTGAGCCAGCATCAGCAGAAAAGATGAGTCCCAGCTGTTTGGAGATGGGATGAACAACCTCCTCCAGCGTGCTGCCAAACCACGACCGCAGGAGAAAGACAGCAGGGACATCCTCGGCTGATCGGCTAAGTTTAGAAATACCAGAGCGTTCTCACCAGAGGCTGGATGACGTACGACACCCAGAGCGGCATGATGATGTCTCGGCTGTATCCGGTGAGGTAATCTGATTGGTACAGAAGACAAAAGCTGGCGTCTGGCTGGATGATTTGAGGAGTGCCGAAAGGGTGGTGGAGGCGGCGCAAGGAAGCTTTGGTTTCTGGAGAGAAAATGTGCATCACTGCTCAGAAAAACACACAAAAAGCATCTTTAATGCATAAATAAACAAAAACTTTACTCACCATCATTAATAGCAAGTAGAACGGTGTTCATTTGTTTCTCCTGAAAATTTTTATACATATTTGTTATCAGATAATGAACCAAACCCTTGATTATGGGAATTTAAACAATCACCTGCACATGACAAATAAAAACTTTGAATACAATAAAGTTGATCAAAGAATCAGAAGAACGTGTTTGAGACGAACCATTTCGACGGTCTGAGATGCACAGCGGCACTGCAGGAGGGATGTCGGGGCGGGGTTGGGGTCAGAGGTCTCACAGGGGGTGTCGAGGGACAGCGGCGCTCGGTGCACCGGTTTGTAGTAAGGATCCTTCAGGAGATGGTTCAGACTGCCATGGGTCCCGTTGTTTGAAGCGGGGCTAATTTCCAGAAGATCTGGTGGAACATGAAGAAAAGGTAAAACTGCTTATAAAATAGCTCGCCTGACCTGTACGAACCAGAATATCACCCGTTTGTCTGAGATTAGGGGACAAAGAGCTAAAGTACACTCAGCAACAGCGTGGATGAAAACATCTTGTTGATGACTCGATGGTAAAACAAACCCTGTGAGGAACATTTCAAACGCCTCGTCGGATCTTTGATATGAAGAGGTTCTAAAGGCAAAAGATACCCTACAAGAGCAAGATGAACCTAAGGAAGCAAAGGTTTCGTTGTTTTGTAGGAAAATTTACTAAACCGTCAGCAGGAAATCACAAAAACACCAAACAAGCTCAACCACAAAGATTTGTGTCATCTTCCACCAATCAGACCAACTAACCTTCGCACACAAATCTTAAGATCTTTACCGATGAACTCGTCTGATCTGATGATTCTAGTTTAGTTGTGAAGATCACCAAATTCAGCCGGCATGGTGGAACAATTGGTAGCAATAAGGTCACAGGTTCAAATCCCAGCTGCAGCCTTTTGCATGGAGTTTTCCCCAGCTACTCTGGTTTTCACACACAGACCAAAAACATGCACGCTAGGTTGACTTGTCTCTCTAAATTGTTCCTAGTTGTGTGCGCGTGGCTGGTCATGTGTCTCCGTGTCCCTTTGATGGACTAGAGATTGGTCCAGAACATCCCCATCTCTCTTAGAGACCAGATCCCAGTGACCCCAGTGAGTACGAGGTGGTTAGGATAAAAAGTGAGCGACTGTTCTTGACTTGTGTTTTCTTGGATCAATACGTTTTTTTTCTCGCATCCGTCTGTAAAGACATCCTGATTTCCGGACAAGATGGTCCCCCGTTACAGGACCAGGAAGTAAGCAGGTGGAAAAAACGTGAAATCTTATAGAGTTAAAACCAGTGTAAGGTCACCGCAGTAGCAGGAAGACGAGGATTTGACTCAAAATGACAAGACAAATAAATCTAAAGAATACAAATCAAACCTGAACAAGTGAGTGCGTGACTAACAGGTTTTACAAAATAAAACAGGAAGTAGAGCTGGAAATACAAAACTTAACTAACTTTAAAATAAAATCCATGCCAACCCAACTGTGTTTTTCCCAAAACATCCAGTCAAAAATCAACTACCAGACAATTAAAAGCAGGAAAAAGAGCACTTACCACACATGAGATTATAGATTTCTATATTCTCAAAAGGAGCTACGACTGTGTTGGTTTTAAACGCTGGACCGTAGCCGATGAAAATCGCCTGAAAGTAAAATAAAACATGTATTAACCTCCTTTCAGCAGTTTTAAAGGATAGAATACATCAACTGGAAACCTTCATATGGACAACATCACATATTTAGGCCATGTGTAAATATTTGACCTGAACTCTGACATATTTTTCTCCAGACCGATGACTCTGCGGCGAGGACGTTTTCAGATGAGCAAACTGTTTACTCAACAGCCTTTTGCTTCACCCTAAAGTCAGATGTGTGAGTAAACGGTCTGCAGAGTTACACACTTACGCTAAAGACTCAGATGACGGTGGCTTTAGGTTCATGTGAGGAGGAAAACATCCCATGACAAGAAGTCACAAAGTTTTTGTGCCTCTAAATTTAAATTTAGATGTTTTTCTAAATATTTTCTCCAGAAATTTCCTCAAATGTGGTCAGATTCATGCAAAAACAAAACAAAAACAAAGCTAATTATTTAGTGAGTGTTTTGAAAACACCACATTGGAGGAAACTGATTAATTATTTTGGTAACACTTTCTTTTACAGTCCCCTAATTACTAAGTACTTACACGGTAATTCCATAGTAAGTTAAAGTGTTTTGTTTTATTCTAAGAACTTAAACAGTTATTACCATGTTTAATTTTTATTAATCACTCTTGTTTAAGACTGCATTACTCAATAATTGCACGTCTTTAATTATGCACTATAATTACAGAGTAATACACTTTAACTTACTATGTAGATCCCATGTAAGTACTTAGAAATTAGGGAACTGCAAAAGGAAGTGTTAACAATATTTCTAATAACAGCTGACACACACATCCTTCCTTCCTCTGACCTGCATGTTGTCGAAGACGTTATCGGAACCGTGGAAACCGCCAGTACAGTACTTCACTTCCTGTTGGTTTCTGCTCAAGACAAATAAAAAGAAAAGCATCTCTGACCAAATGAGAAAACACGTTCAAGTTGTGTTTCGATCGTATTCAAACAGGAACGTAGAACATAATCCCGTTACCCAGACAGTCATGATTCATGGAAGTCTGCAGCATGCCGAGGTAATGGCGTTGTGTTTCTAATTAGCAGTTTAGACCCATAAAAGGTCTCATTCTCCTCCCCAACAAGCTTTATTTATTACACATGATTATTGTTAACCACTCTGCAAAATAAAGTTTCATGTAGTAGTAAATTTGATGCTTTCACAACTTTAGCGGGTCAAAATCAAGCAAATTCTACAATCTGGACCAAATTACTCTTAACTTTTGGACACCTTGCACTTAAGTTTCCATCATTACTGAACAGCTGGTGCATTTAAAAGCTCTCTGAGTGCTCCGTCAATCTAGTTTTATCACACTGTTGGTTAAAAATCAATAAGAACTCAGGCCTCTGCGTTCCTTTCCCATATATTAAACAGAGGGTAATTAAAAGGATTTTTAGAAAATAATTCAAATACAAAGAATAACATTGATGAAGTGAAAAGAGAAGCTCCGTCATCCGGGAGGGGCTACGAGTAGACCCGCTGCTCCTCCACATCGAGAGGAGCCAGTTGAGGTGGCTCGGGCATAAAGTTAGGGTGCCTCCTGGCATGTCCAACCAGAAGGAGACCTAAAGAAAGACTCAGGACACGCTGGAGGGACTATGTCTCTCAGCTGGCCAGAGAACACCTTGAGATTCCCCCGGAGGAGCTGGCCCAAGTGGCTGGGGAACGGGAAGTCTGGGCCTTTCTGCTTAGGGTGCTGCCCATGTCACCCCAATAAGTGGACGAGGATGGATTGATGGGTTAGTTAAGATCTGAGATAATCAAAGTTTTCCTAATTCTAATGGGCTTTTGAAACTGGTTTAAAGCCTACTGGTTTGTACTGGTTTATTGCATTGCACCAACCATTTTTTTTGGAAGAGTTGAGTTTCTTCAATAAAAATAAAAATAAATCACATTGCAGCTATGGTTTGAGTTCAGTCTGAACAAACCAAATGAAACCAAAGCGGTGACCGTGTTTGGATGACACCAAAGACTAACTGGAGGAAAATGCTGTCGGAAAGTTTCAGATCATTAACTTTAACGGCAGATTTTAGTCATTCCTAAACAGAAGTAAGTCACTCACAGCGCCGCCTGCCAGCCTGACTTCATGTAGAGGTGACCTCTCTCGATGCGTTGGTTGTTGGCGAAGTGCATCCTTTTGGGGAGGTTTTCTTTCAGGTACGGCCTCATGGGCTGCTCGGGGGTCCTGCACTTCAGAACACACACAGAAGGGGGGGAATAAACACACAGCAGAGGGAGGATGGGTGTGTTTGTGATGAAGCCACGCAAGCAGATAATCCCTCATTCTTCTTATCAATACAAAGGTCACATTTGGAATATTTCGCATACCGACAAGTTCTTCACCAGGCCTTCGTAGTCGACTGAGGGAGAAAAGGGCAAATTTTAACAAAAAAATGATGCGGGTCAGGAAAAGAGGTCATGGACAAACACTCACAGGAGAAATAATCATCAGGAAGACGCTTGGGTCTGATGCGAGCGGCCGGGCCTTGGATGATGATAAAATCAGACGTGTGTTGTTGGTAGTTTGTCACAAACGTCGCCCTGTCACAGGACGCCTCCTCCATGCCTGTTGAGTAGGAAACATAGAGCAGCTCATTAGGGCTTTAGCACTAAAATGTGCATATTTGGACTCTTATGGGTTTCAAATGACAAATGTTTTAGATGTTGTTTGTGTTTTGTCTCATTCTGATGTAATTCCTTTAAATATGAACCTTTAGGATTCTCAGGAGTTGTTTGCGCTCCAACATCAGCAGCTGCGGTGTTATGGGTGTGACACGTGAACCTCACCAAGTCTGGTGCTTTATAACAAACAGCAGACCAACTCCTGCTTTAAAACCAACATCTCCTCTTGGATGCTTGCGGGACAATATAATTACAAGGCTAAACGTGTGGTCCCCAGATACCAGCAGAAGCGTCACCCCACCAAGTATTTTCTTCCCAATTTACTTTTTCTGTAGTTTTCTCTACAACAGGTGAAGCAACTCAACCAAATCAAATACTTGAAGTCGACTCGCGATGGCCACAAAAAGCAGCGTTGTTGCCACACGCTGGTTTCCGTTGTAGAGCGGCACTGTGATTGCAGAGACTTAAACATGAAGTGCAAAGATTCAAATAGAAAAAAAAATCATTTTAGTTGAGTTTTATTTCCCAACAGTGGTCGTATTTTATTTAAATAACTAAAATCTGCTCTGCCTTTAACCACATCAGCGCCGTGTACTTGTCTCACCGTGATCGGACATGATTATCACATTGGCGCACCGATGGAGGCGTCTTTCTTTAAGGCCGTTCATGAGCATCCCCAGTAACTTGTCAACCTTCTCCAAAGCTGAAATCACCTGAAGAAGCAAAAATGGTTGAACTTTTACATCATTTGTTGCGTTAAAAACAATATCCAACAACTTGAATAAGCTAAGACAAAATTAAATTGTGTTTAACTAGAAGAAGGGAATTACAACCACATGAGAAAGAAAACAATATCACTGCTTTCCCCAGGATTAGAGACTGATTTGATTTATGACACAACCATTAACGGATCATTTTTATCTAGAATATTTCATAAGCAGACATATACAAATGTGTTGTTTTCTTTCTGAAATTCAAAAATTCTGCATTTTATAATTAGTGTAAAAAGTGAACTTTTATAATAAATTTTAATCATATGAAAACATTAAATGTAAAAATTTTTATTCTACGAAATTGTTGTTGTTTTGTTTTTGTTAAGAGTACATTAGAACCACATGAAGGTGTCTACTGAATTTTTAAATACCAAATAAATATCTAATAATAAAACATCAGTTCAAATGGGACACAAAGTGGAACTATTATTTTAGTTATAAAATAAATGTAGGTCGGTATTTGTAAGTATTTATCGTTGTTACAGTGATCCACGTCTCACCTCTTATTTATACACCCAGCAACCCGCCTAAACCCAGTGTGGAGGAGCTCACCTGCTGACTTTCTGGACCATATTTATGTCCTGCAGTGTCAGGTTCATCCAGATACAAGGTGTAAAAATCCGCTCTGAAACGAGAAATAGAACATTTTAGCAGGATTAAAGAAAAGGCTCAGTTTTAATTTTTTTTAGTTTTAATACAACTAATCAGAGTTCACATTTTAAAGAGACTGTTGGGATTTATTTACACCAGCAGGAGGCACAAAAAAACAAAGCTTTTGATACGTAATTCTAGAATTATTACATATTAAAGGAATTGATTACTTGTTTAATCAATACGTTTGCAGCAGTCTCTATGAATGCCTTGCAGGCAGTACTCAGGGCCCAAAAAAACCCACAAACCCCCGGCTCAGCAGGGCCAAGTCTGCAAAATCACAGTAGAGCTTACGGTGGCCTAGTGGAAGAGTGTCTGCCCTGAAACTGGGAGATCAGGGTTCAATTCCTAGCCGGGTCAGACCAAAGACTTTGAAAAAAATGGGACCCAATGCCTCCCTGCTTGACACTCAGCATTAAGGGTCGGATTGGGGGGTTAAACCACCAAATGGATCCTGAGCGCGGCTGTGTCTGCAGCTCACCGCTCCCCCAGGGGATGGGTCACATGCGGAAAACAAATTTCGCACACACATCAGTGTGTGTGAGGACTGATGGGACTTTAACTTTAAAATGCTGCAAATCCATATGTCTGACTCTTTTTTTTCCTATCAGATGCATTTTATTTTGATCATAACAAAATTCAAGTTAAATGCAAATTAGATCAACTGCAGGTAAGACACTGACAACTACTGATGACTCCACTCAACACTTTGTACTGTTTCTTCAACAATAACCTGGTTTTATAATTATAATAAACTCATACAACCTTTGCTCCTTTGGCAAACTGAGCCACCCGAACAATGTTGCCAATCTTTGCTCAAATGGGATCTGGCTGTACACAGAAAGGCTTGATATTATGAAGTCATCAATTCAACACTGCATTTTGGAATTAAGTTAAGCTCAAGAACCAAAGAGGGGGGCCGGTCCTACCTGTCATACTGCTTGTAGAAATCTGGGAAGGTTCCATTGATGGGCACGTCAGAACCTGGCCAGAAGAAAGTGGCTGTTCTGAGTTTCTGACGCATGGCGGTAAGCCAGACCTGATGGAGACGAGAGTAGAAGAGTAAAAGGAAGATGAAAAATTAATCATTTCGGCTTGTAATCGATTCAGAGTGAGCTGTAGCAGACGCACACTATTAGCAAGCATGAAGTCCTTCACAGTTGGGTCAAAACTGTTTATATCAATCTACAGGCTGGAGTATACTATTAATGCTGCAAGGTCATAAATAAGTTTTTGCACATGCATTTTACACATTCTTGCATAGTAAATTCATCGTGAATCATCCATCTTTCCGTGGTTTTCTGGAAAGTCATACAGCTGCTGCATGTTAGATCTTAGAGGAGGTATTTGTCATGCAGAAATGGATTGAGTTTCAGGAAACCTCCTGTTTCAGTGGAAACCACAAGTCCAGCTTCCACAAACTGTCATTTTAACATGAGCTTAATCCATAATTATAACACGAAACTCATAGCTGGGGAGTAAATTACAGCACAGCTTTAGAAACAAGACAGATGTGTTGCATCTGTTATTGCCCAACAAAAGCCAGAATTTCCCCTTCATGAAGTAAAACTACGTATGTTAACATGACTAATATCCACAGTGCTGATGTTCTGCTTACTGGTTCACCGTGATACCACCGTGGGTTGAACTTCTCATTAGTTTTCAAGCTGAAGAAGGCATTTTGGGTCACGTCGTACATCTTGTTGTCTATGATTCCATGAGACTCTGGGTAAAGGCCCTGCAGAGATCAAACAAACACACCGTGACAGGGAGCCGCCTTGGTTCTGTAGCTGCAGGTTTCAACTGATTATTGACCAAAAGGGTCTAATTTTACTTCATCTCGGTTCTACAAAAAGCTTTACGACCTGTTTTTCATTCAAATGTTCATGAAAACAAGATCTTTGTGCTTTATATTTACACTTCTTAAAATCTGTGTTTGCCCTGAACCTAAACATTGTTACAAGAGCTGACTTTAATTGCAGGGTCTGTTTTTTATTTTTTAACCGTGTCCTCTCTGGCTGTGAAGCAAACAGAATTGATGTCTGAATGCTGGTAACAAGCCTTACAGATTTACTCTCAGGTGGAGCATCAAAGCGTCTGCTTTTAATGTCACGTCTGATATTTAAAATTTTATTGTTATTGTTTTTGAATGCTTTGCAATTCCGACCAGACACGGAGACAGAGGTGAAAGAGAAAGGAAAAGTCAAAAGGTGGGAAGAGAGGGGGGAAAGGGGGGGGGGGATCCACAAAAATAAACAATAATGAACAAGAGTCTGCTTCTAGACCTGCAGAAAGAGAAAGAGCAGGAAAAAAATGGGACATACAACAATACATCAGGAGCAAGCTATCACTGCGTCAACCTGATGATGATATAAAATCAACATTGTTTAACTGAACAATCACACGATAATAAATCACAGTGCATTTAGTGGCAACGACAGCCTTAAGACCTGTGTTGAACGTGCTCAAGCCCATACTTATGAGAGCACCATGTGAGCACCTGTGTGTGTACACGCGCTTGTTTATGTAAGGTTTCTCTATAGGAGCGTTGAATAGAGAGTGTGAGGGACCACAGATCCGCCCCACAAAGATGCGTAGGAGATAGGGGGAGCTCCAAGTCCCAGAGATCCAGGAGCTGCCCCAGAACACAGGAACCCCAAGGAGACTGCAACCAGAAAGGCCCCCGCCCCCCTCGAGAGGCACAGAGGATCGCCCCGGGGGGCCACAACCAGCAGCCAGCAGAGTCCCGGGAGATATCAGCGGCAAGCCCACAGGCCCGCCCGCAGCCTCCCACCCCCTAGCCGGCCGAGCCTGGGACCCAGCGACCCGGGACCCAGGGGTGACCACCCCCGCCGGGGACCCAGCAGAGCCCAGGGACCCAGACCCCACCAGGCAGCCACTGGGATGCCAAAAATCTTAAATCCCCTGACCCGGGAGCTACGATCACTCAGGCAGACCAAGGCACCACACCCCACACCTGGTGTGGCAGGGGGAGGGGAGACGAAGATCTACATCATCAAAAGAAGTCCCAGGAGAGGGGAGGAGTCAAAGGCCCCACATGACATACACAGTCATACACAAACACAGTCACACACTCCCTCCCTCATGCTCACACATGCACATACAACCAAAGACTTACAAAAATGCATGCCGGACACCCACTCATGCTCCCCATACACACCCTATTCACTCTGGTCCCGGTACTGCGGCACATGGGGTACAGGTTGCAGGGTCTGATTTTGAGCAACCGCCATTGTTCTTTTTCCAGGCGCATGTAAGCCATTTGGCCTCAGCAGAGCATTAACTTTCAACTGTTTCAACAGCAGGAAACAGGGATTGGGGTGAAGTTAAAAATAACTGCAGTGTAGGAAATATAACTTGTTAAAGAAACGCACGCTTTAGGTTGAAATGGATTTTCAATTAAAACGTCATCAACTCAAGGATTTATTGAAGAAAAATCCAACTTTTTATGTTCTTGAAAAACTAATTTACCCCATATTACTTTTCAGCATGCGTTTTAAAAGCTCAAACGTTTCTAATTTTTAAAGATTAAACCAGTTTTTCCAAACCTTTTGATCCCCAATTTGCTCATTTAATGCTAGGCTAAAAAGATAACAGACCCAGGAAGGGTCATCCCAGGCAATGCTCCTAAACTCATCAAAGAGGGTCCCAAGGAGTTCCCAGGCCAGACAGGATATATTGGCCTCAAAGCAAGTTCTGGATCTGCCCTGGAGTCAGTGTGGCCCAGTGCAGCATCAATGCTCCTCTTAATGTAGAGACCTACTCCTAAAGTGGAAGAAGCATTCAACTTTGTTTAATCAAGGTCAAGGTCACATTTATTTCTAAAGCACACTTATTATTGCTTCCGCAACCCAAAGTGCTGTACAACACAGAAGATAAAATCGCAAATAAGTATAACTAAAAACCATAAAACCATAAAAATCAGCAAGTTAGGATAAAATCAACATTACATCACACAATTATAAAATCAATAAAAATGAGAAAGAATGACAATGACAAAATAAAATCATCCTACATAAAAGCCAGGTTGAATAAATGAGTTTTGAGCAAGGACTTAAAGACATCCAGACTTTGTGAGGTCCTGATCCGCAGAGGAAGGCTGTTCCAGAGTGTAGGACCGGCCACAGAAAAAGCCCCATCTCCTCTCGTCTTTAGGCGAGCCTTTGGAACTGACAATAAAAACTGTGAGCCCGACCGCAAATTCCTGGTAGGATTGTAGGGTGACAATAAATCATCTATATTAGGATGGGCCAGACCATAAAGTGATTTATAAACAAAAAGCAACACTTTAAACTGAATCCTGTAATGCACTGGCAGCCAGTGAAGGGAAGCAAGCACTGGAGAGATGTGATCATGCTTCCTTGTACCTGTTAAAAGGCGGGCTGCTGCATTTTGAACCAGTTGCAAGCGGTTTAAGGACGAATGCCCTAATCCATAGTACAGGGAATTGCAGTAATCTAGTCGACAGGAGACAAAGAGATGCATAACATGTTCAAAGACAGTTTCCGGCAAATAGCACTTAACCTTTGCAAGTTGCCTCAAGTGACAAAAACCAGACTGGACCACTGCACTTATCTGTCTGTCCAATTTAAACGAACCATCCACAAAACCCCCAGGTTTTTCACATAAGGCTTTACAAAATCTGAAAGGGAACCAAGTGGGCTCACCGCACCATTTAACAGGTCTCCACTGCCAAAAACTAAAATCTCTGTCTTCAGGTCGTTCAATGTCATAAAATTAATTTGCATGGTAACCGCATAGTGCAATCCTCAAAGTCATGGCTCAGAAACGTGAACAGAACCGTATCATCTGCAAAAAGCAGAACTGAAAAGTGACTGCAGCTCCACAACCCCCCCATAAAATGTCTCAAAGAGACAATGTGTAGTTCTACCATTAACCTCTGGAAACATCCATCTCCTGGTTGTCCCTAGTCAGGACACATACTCACGGTGAGGCGCCCTTCGAGTATTACGGCCCTTGCCTCTGGAATAAGCTGCCAGAGGACCTCAGGACCGCAGAGAACGCTCATGTTTTTAAGTCCAGGCTCAAGACCCACCTATTTAGGTTAGTTTTTCTCCAATTATTTATTATAGTTTTATTTCTCGTTTGACATTATATTTTATGACTTGCTTTGCATGTTTAATATGATTATATTTTAGCACTGTTTTGTTATTTAATATTATTTTACTGTCCATATGATTTTATTTATTACAAAAAATAGCTTATTGTCCCTCGCACCCGATGGTGATCGGCTTTTCAAGTCCTTGCACCCTCTCTCTGGAACCAGCTCCCACTCACAATCATACAGTCACCGGTAGTCTTTAAGAGCAGGTTGAAGACTCATTTTTATAGGATGGCTTTCTCCTAAAGCTTTAGGTTTCTGGTTTATATTTTTTTGTTCTTAGCTTTCTTTTAACAAATTAATTTTAATTTTCTTTTATCTAAATTTTATCTCATTGGAATTTTATTGTTCTCACAAATATCTATGTTCTTTTTTTTGTTTTTAATGTTTGTAATACTTGATACTTTCATCTTTGTTACTTTTCTTGTCCAGCGCCTTGGGCCCCTTTTGAGGGTGGCGGAAAGCGCTATATAAATCAAACTTGACTGATTATTTTCTTACTTTAGTCATTTATATTAGCTCTTTAATTTTTATAGTTTTACTCATACACAAAATTCTGTGACACCCAAGAGGCAACAAAAGTGAAACATTTACTTTCCATAAGGCTCTATTATAAAATAAATTTCCCTACAGAATGACTATATCACATTTTCCAAAATGGACCCTTAATTTTCCCCAAATCAATAAAGATTTATTTGTTTTTTATTAAAACGCTAATTACTACTCCTGTGTTCTCTTAAAAAACCTTGTGATGGACTGAAACAGAACTCACAGTCACAATGCTGTAGTGGTTGGGGAAGGTCTTTGTGGGATAAACGGGTCTGATGTATGGCGCTGTTGTGCCGGCACTTCCTGCAACACAGTAATCAAAAGTGACATTCCTGGCGAAACCGTTCAGACTTGAATCACCACGTCTGTGACTTACGAAGCTTATTGAGGACAGGAAGGTGGCTTTTGTGATCGTTAAGATATTTTGCCCGGAAACCGTCCAAGGACACCAAGATGAGAGGAGACCTTGGAAAACTGGGCAGGAAAAAACACTGGATGAATGCTCAAGAGCCATAATCTTTAATGTTTTTGACACAAAAACAACAGGTGGTGTGACTGGTCCTGGTGGCTGTCAGTTTCTAGGAGCAAAACGCTTCAACAGGAGCTTAGTAAGGTTACTGTTAGTTATGCATTAATGTTAAGAAGCAAACCAACCATGTAGGGCAAAGTCTAACTCTTCAAAACTGAGAACAACTTCTGCTGGACGTGTTGAAACAAATTTCACAACAACCTGAATTTCACAATGTGAACAAAGCCTGAAGGCCTATGCACATAAGGAATCAAGCACGAGATTGGATTAAGAAGTTGTCGCCCTGTCTTTTCTTTAAAAATTCCCACCTCTACTGGGAATACTCCGAGGTATTTCAGGGAAAGCCTAGAGTTATAAACCCAGCAGTGTGTCCTGGATCACGGGGGTCTCCTCTGCAGGATGTGCCTAAAACACATATCCTAGGATCCTGAGCACATGCCTGAATCACCACTCCTCTCAAACAGGAGGATCAGCCAATCATCAAGGTGGATTAGTTTATCCTCCACATCACTGCACACTCTGCCCTGATCCACCCGTTGATCTCCTGCTCCATCCTTTCCTTACTTGTGATAAGTAGGACCTCTACCCTCACCTGGAGTTGGCATTCCAAGTCTAGAGCCATGGCTTCATATTTAGACATGCTGATTGTCTTCCCAGCCACTCCCAAGCAAAAGCTGCAGGCCAGTTTCATAAAGCTACGAGGACTAAGCCATCTGCAAAAAGCGGCATTCCAGTCATTTTAAAGCAACTGCCACTGGTGAGCTCCCTTTAGAATGTGTTTAGCATTCAAAAACATTTCATGAGAGTATATTTGTGTGGTCTACTAATAGATTATGAAACCCAGCAGAATATAGGGTATAAAAAAATCGAAAAGGCACAAACAGCACTTCTGTACCAGATATTTTAAGACCAAAAAACAGCCTCATTTAGCATAGATGGATGTTTATTCCTGCTGTATGATGAGTCTATCTGGGGTTACACACACACACACACACACACACACACACACACACACACACACACACACACACACACACACACACACACACACACACACACACACACACACACACACACACACACACACACACACACACACACACACACACACACACACACACACACACACACACACACACGAAGCAGTAAAAGTATACTTGCACTTTTTAAAGCCTGAATCATGAAATCAGAGTAAAAATTATCCAATATAATAACAATCACAAAATTAAAGATGCGATTTGTGATGTAATAACTTTGGAATTTCATAATGATAAAACAATAACTCGCCAACTGTGATACTTTGATTTTCCACCAGAAGGCAGAAAACACATATTTGAGTGGATAAGCAGGTGTTTCAGGAATGTACTAATCTTGTTAAAGAGATGGAGGCCCTAACCCCAAAACAGATGTATTAAATATAACATAATACAGTGGTAATGACAAAAACACGTGATGTACTAAATAGTTAATATTTTACTATTGTTTATTACATTCATGTTTCTTTGTAAGAAAAAAGAAAATATGCTTTACATTTACATTACATTACATTGCATTACACACACACACACACACACACACACACACACACACACACACACACACACACACACACACACACACACACACACACACACACACACACACACACACACACACACACACACACACCTGAATAGTTAAACTCATTAGTCTAGCTTACAGGGGCATGGATCCTCATTTACCCCAATAAAACAATACAATTAGAAAATAAACTGAAAAGCCAAGCGTGAGTTTGTTACGCACAATTAAAAAAAAACACAAAGATGGACAAACTTTCACCTATGGTGACAAAAAACATCACTTCCTCTTGTACACAGTTTATAACTGTCAACAAAGAAGAAACTGAGCCAGCTGGATAGCTTCACCCATCAGGAGGACATCCTGACAAACCATCTCTAGTGGGATTTGTTCAAATAAAAAACAAGAAAAATCTTATTACCCAGGTGGACACTGTCGCTGATGTACTTCTTCAAACGCTGAGTCTGTTTCTGTTGGAAAAAATGAGAAACATCAGCATGTAATTGCAAAAAGGCATGAACAGCTGAAAGACAGAACCGTTGCTGCTCAGTTTTTGTCTCTTGACCTCAGATGACCCCTTCTCGCCTTGGTGCGAGTTATGCCACAATCTCTCTGGGCCGCAAAAACGGTGAGGACTAAATGCAAAGCTGGCAAAGGAGGATTCTGCAGATCCACTGGCCAGACAGAATTACTAATCAAGAACTTTGGCAACAAACAACACTGCAGCCTGTGGAAGATAAGATCCTCCAAAGACACTGGCGATGGATCAGCTATATACTCCATAAACTCGCATCCAGTCCCAAAAGGGAAGCCTTGGTCTGGAACCAGCAAGGGAAAAGAAAAATGGGACGATCTAGAAACACATGGCGCCTTAACTTGGAGGTGGGTCTTAAAGGCTACACAGGGAGCCAGATAGAGAGGCTGGTCTCGGACCGGGATAGCTAGAGAATGCTTGTAGGCGGCCATATGCTCCACGTAGGGCTGCAGGCTTAGGCAGATAAAGACAGAACTGGTCACATTCCAGTGAGACACTGGTTTTATCTAAAGACTGAGGCAGTGTGGGGAAGCTGAAGCCAACCAGCCACTGACAAGGTAGTCACAGAGCTGAAAGGCGTAATCCCACATTTCAGATTGAGGAAACGATTTAGAATTGACAGGTCTGTGCGACCAGCCAGCTGCAGCACTACTTAAACGAGTGTTGCTCTACAGGGTAAAAATTTGTTTTCAAATTTTAAGCTTATATGCATCTACGTTAAGTTTGGCTCAATCTTCTTTACAGGATGTTTCGGTTCAATAAAGTTTGCAGCAACACTAAAGAGTTGAAACTTTTTAAACTATTACTTTCAAAGTGGTTTAAGTCTTTTTGTAACCTTAAACTAAACCAGGGCACTCTGCTTCCCTCTGCACTTAACAGTGTAGTGGTTTGGTATAGGAACACTAGTGGGAGCTCTAACTGCTTTACAGCATTTGCCGACTAATGTGCAGGTAGCTAAAATAAAGGCTAGCAGTTAGCTTTTCAGTTCGGTGACCAACAATAAAAAGCACAAGAAGACAAAGATTTTTTTTCTTTTTCTCTTGGCATCATGGCGGAGCCTGGAAGTAAAAGTAAGAGTAATGTCTTTGGAGGTGAAGCAAAGAGCTAAAACCAGAGTGAACATCAGCGCGGCCTATGCTAGTTTGAGGAGCTAGGAATGCAGGGACTGATGGTGACCTGGCATTGTTGCTACTGGACTTCAAGCAACGTTGCAAGAAAAGCAGCAAGAGGAAACTCACTGTTGCCTAATGATGGTTTAAGGGGCAATGCTTAGAATGCCAAGATGGTGCAGTGCAAGCACAAGCCTTGCAGTGGGATGGAGTCTCATGTACAGTTGTATGTGTAGATTAAGGTACTATAACCCAGTCCCAGACAAACCCTACACAGAGTTCTGTCATGTTTTATTCTAACATGTAGAATCGTTGGCGTTTAACTTTTAACCTTTATGTGGGCCTAAAATAGCTTACATGTATTTGACCTTTTTTACTTATGTTTTTACTATCTCTTATGGACCTTCTTGTGTCTTTAATAAAGTGATTGATTACAACCAGTTGGAGGCTGAATTTTGACTGGATCATTTCAGGAACGTGATTAATTTCTCTTCAGCTGCTCTTTTGTTCTGCAACTTTGATTTGGATTGTCATCTTGTTTTATAACCATTTGGTTCAAGCTTCAGCTGCTCGACAGAAGACTTCACATTTGACTCGAAATACTTTGGTTAAAGAAGTCACTTGAAAGACTGGAAGGTGCCCAAAACATTAACCCTCCACCACCATGCTGACAGCTGATGAGCTGTCAGTGCTGCTTTACGCCATCTGATTTACTAATAAGTTGGAGCTTTAATTCCATTTTTGGTTCTTTTTAAAACACAGGAAAGGTTTTTCTTTACCTTGCTAACATTTCGTTTACCAACTGCAAAACATCCTCAGAGCTGGCGCTGATGGTGGCGTCACTTCCTACTCTGTTTATCCGCGGGCAGCAGAGGACGTTGTCGCCCTCTGCCGCCCGCTCTCCCCTCTCCGACGATGCAGTCCCATGCGCGGTCCAATGAGTAAACTCTATCGTCTCTGTTCATGGTGTAGCGTTATTAAGATCCTATTGT